TCACGGCGGCGCTGGGCGCGTCATCCCTCGTGGCGGCCGACGGGCTCAACGCGCGGGCCAAGGCCAAGGGGCGGTACTGGGGCACGTGCGTGAACCCGGGGGTGCTCAACGACGGGCGCGCCAGCGCCGTCGTCAAGAACGGCGAGGACTTTGGCTCCTACACGGCCGAGAACGAGATGAAGTTTGACGCGCTCGAGCCGTCGCGCGGCAACTTCAACTACGGCAACGCCGACCGCATCGTGACGGCCGCCAAGGCCATCGGCGCCCACATGCGCTGCCACGCCCTCGTCTGGCACGCCCAGGTGCCCGGTTGGGTCCGCAACGGCGGCTTCAACAAGGCGACGCTCATCAGCATCATGGAGACGCACATCAAGAACGTCGTGGGCCACTTCAAGGGCTCGTGCTACGCCTGGGACGTGGTCAACGAGGCCCTCAACGAGGACGGCTCGTACCGCACCGGCGACTCCATCTGGGGCAGGACCATCGGCGCCACCGAGTTCATCCCGCTCGCCTTCAAGGCCGCCCGCGCCGCCGACCCGGCCGCCAAGCTGTACTACAACGACTACAACTGCGACAAGCCCGGCCGCAAGGCCACGGGCGCCCAGAACCTCATCAAGATGGTCAAGGCCGCCGGCGCCCCCATCGACGGCATGGGCCTGCAGGGCCACATGAGCGTCGGCCAGGTCGGCCCCGTCAGCACCCTGGTGCAGAACCTCAACGCCTTTACGGCCCTGGGCGTCGACGTCGCCTACACGGAGCTTGTGAGTTTTGGGAGGCCGTGTCAGATGTACATGTCGAGAGTGAACGAGATGAAAGGCTGGCTGACTGTAGTGACCAAAAAAAAAGGACATTGCCGCCCGCAGTGGATCGAGCCAGTTCGCGCAGCAGGCAACCGACTACGGCTACGTCGTCCAGGCTTGCATGCAGGTCAGCCGCTGCGTAGGCATCACCGCTTGGGGCTTCACCGACGCGCACAGCTGGATCAGCGGCGGCAACGCCCTGATCTGGGACTCTTCGTACAACAAGAAGCCAGCCTACAACGCCATACTGAACGGCTTTGGCCGTTAACCCTCAGTGCACTGCTATGTACGCCCAGTGTGGAGGCCAGGGATGGACTGGGCCGACATGTTGTTCCTCAGGGACCTGCACGGCGACCAACCAGTGGTACTCTCAGTGTGTTTAGAGAGGGAGTCTGGGATGGAGATAGGAAATGGCAAGAGGAGACGAGAAAGGCGTGACAAGAGAATTTTGTATTGGTCGTAACCATGAGGCACGATGAGAACAAACTATCGAAGCCGATAACTAAAACGCGTCTAATCACGGCTTCATCACTTCTCACTCTGCGCGGCAGCGTCGGCCAGGGCAGGCTTGAGTTCGTCAGCGCGCGCTTGTGAGAATTCGCGGGTTCGCACACGGTGCTCAAACAGAAGATCGAGCTCGGCATATGTCAAGCCCTTGCACTCGGGCAGGCGGAAGTAGGTCCAAAGGAAGAAGACAAAGGCGACGCCGGCCCAGAAGAAGCCAGCCTTGGGGCCCCAGTTCCAGGCGTTGACGCCAACCATCTGCGGCATGAGTGCGTTGTTGATGAAGACGGCGGCGTTGTAGCTGGCGCGGGCCAGAGCGACCGTCTTAATGCGGTTACGCGTCGACGGAATCTCGGCCACGATGGTGTAGCAGATGGGGCCCAGACTCAGCTGGAAGCAGACCAGCATGAGCACGATGAGGGCGGCGACGGCACGCGCAGCCTCCTGGTTCTGCGTGGTACCGGCACCCGGGGCGAGCCCGACGAAGCCGACAATCATCAGGATAACGACCATGACCAACAAGCCCCAGACATACAGGAAGCGACGGCCGAGGCTAGTCATGATGAACCAAGCAGCGACGCAGGCGAGCCACTGGGCGCAGCTAAGGATCACGTTGACATTGTAGGCAGCCTCGGTGGGCAGACCGCCGTTGGTCATGAACTGCACGGCGTATCCCATGAAAGGCACGCCGCAAAGGGCCTGGGTGATAAACACCATGAGGGCGATCTCAGTGCGGCGGAGGTCGGCGCCCTTGAAGAGATCATGGTAGTTGGTCCCGGCGTTGATCTTCTTCTCGTAGTTGTCCGTCGTCACCATCATGTCGATATGGGCGTCAAGGTCGAACTGGACATCGTCCTGAGGAGTGATGAGCTTGCGCACGGCGTCGCGGGCCTCGTCGACGCGGCCTTGGCGGACAAGCCACCACGGCGACTCGGGGCAGAGCAGCGTGACCACCATTATGGGCACAGGCCAAACCCACTGGACGGCAAAGGGGACCTTGTAGCCCAGCTCACCGGGAATGCCAAGAAGGCCGCGCAGGATGCCGGTGGAGAGAAGGCCGCCCGTAACCCAGCACAGGTTGATCCACGAGGTCATGTAGGAGCGTATGTGGGTGGGACACAGGTCGGCGGCGTACGAGACGGCGAGGGTCTGGAAGATGCCCCAGGGGATGCCCTGGACTAGGCCACCAGCCAGAAACATGGGCAGGCCGGTGGAGAAGAAGGGGATGAAGATTGCGCCGATCATGGCGGTCATGGACACCAGCATAGTCTTCTTGTAGCCGAGCCACTCGGTGATGTAGCCGTTGAGGATCAGGCCGATGATGCAGCCAACCTGGGTGCCGTTGAGGATGATGGTCTGCCAGCGAGCCGAGACGACCTTGCCGCCGTTGGGGTTGGGCTCGTCGCCGAAGCGCTCCTGGAAGGCCGGGAAGGGGAAGAAGTTGTTCATGAGTGACGTGTCGTAGCTCTCCATGATGATGCAGAGCGAGAGGAAAAAGGAGAAGAGCACGGCCTTGCGCCAGTAGCGCAGCGTCTGCCCAATGGTCATGTTGCGCTCGTTGGCCAGCGCCGCGTTAGTCTCGTCGGCGACATGGTTGCCGCCGAGGCCTATGGACGTGAACTTCTCAGTCGTGGGCTCGGCGCCATCGCCGGCGGCTTTGGGGTGGTCGGGGGCGGACATGGCGGAGTCGGCGATGGCCTGTGGCAGACGGGAGAGTCAGAGACTGAGGCTGCGCGATAGGAAAACGGCGGGCCATGAGCGTCGCATTGGAGGTGATATATATGCGTACCTGGATCCTACATAGCTCCCCTTACACCTGCCCAGGTGCCTTGCATTCTTGAATGCGCCCATCTCCTACCCAAGGCCCCTGTTCCCGGCATATGCAACGGCAAGGGTGAGGGTGTCTGGGCGGAGAGTAAGAGCGGGGAGGCAGATATTTTTTCTGCTCAGCAACGGCCTCCCCGTGGGAAAGGCGGCGTCATCTCGGTTCGTTGGCTGTCGGCCTCTGCATCTGCGGGGAATTTTCGAGGCCCTTGGAGGGCGGTGACCGGTGTGGCGGGAAGCCCCGTGGGGAGTTGGACTCTGGGGGAACGATACACCAGACCACGAGGGGACCACGAGGGCGGGCCAAGAGGCAAAAATCGAGCCAGGCCGCGGTGAGGGTGATGGCCAATTTGGCCAGCCCCTCACCTTTCTGCACCATCCCTGCTCCTCGAATTGCTTGACCGAAGCCCCACTCAGCTTTCCGCAGAGTTTTCCGCCACTAGTGTTGATCATGCCAAGCGTCGGGTCCACATGACGGTTCGCAACTCAGCACAGACATTACAATAACATTGAATGCACCCCAATATCCCTTGCACGTGCTTTCCGCCTGCCGTCGTCTCTGAACTAATTCCTATAATGCCAGTTTCCCGCCAGCTTCCCGGCCGTTTACCGTGTGACGTTCGCCTAGCGCTGCTTGCCGGACACCCGGATAGGCGACTCGCCCTAGCTCTGCGTCCTCCGCACTCTCCACCCGCCTTTTGATGCGGAAACCATCTGCCTGTGGTGTCTGTCGGTATGTTCCGGACCTTGACTGACACTTCTGATCCTTGTGCCATCTCTCCCCTGGCTGACCTCATCTCGCCTCGCCCTCCTCCAGAGCCCGTCGACGCCGCTGCATCTGGCCCGCGACCGACAGCCAGAGCCCATCCTGCGAATACTGTACACTGTACGGCTTACACTGCATCCAAAAGCCGCCCGATGGGGGTTGGTACCACCGCCGCCAGCTCCGGCTCCAGGTCTCGGGCAGCATAGACGCCCAGCTCCCAGCACGTTCCAGCCAAGCACAAATCGCACACCCAGTGCCCGGTCCGTCCTCGGAACGAGCTGCCACGGTACAGGCAGATGTCGCTAGCCAAAATGCCACCGTCAACATCGAGTCGCTGCCCATGGCCCTGAGGCTGGACCTGGTCGGCTGCTATTTTGACTACATCCACGACCAGTTCCATTCCATGTTCCATCGCCCTAGCTTTGAGGACGACGTTACCAAAAACCAGGTCCCAGGCATCTTGTTGCTAGCTATCTTCTCGCTTGCTGCAAGGTACGTCTCTTGATCCTTGCCAAGTCCACCATATATACGGTAAAGCTAACGAGGGATTCTCAATCACTGCCATGCAGGTTCTCAAACCATGGCCACCTCGCCGACACGGCCCCTTGCGACAGAGGAGAAAGATTCCGTGTCGCCTGCGAGGCGCAGCTACGGGTTCGCCATATCTCGGTGCTGACGGTCCAAGTTTGCGTCCTTCTTGGGGCATATGCCGCTGGACAGGGGGAGATTGAGGCTGAGAATGTCTACTACACCCTCGCTGGGCGCATGGCCTGCACCATGAATCTCATGGACCGCACAGCCTCCAGTCTTGTTGAAAGAGAAACAAACATACGAGGTCCGTATATCCCATGGCCCCGGTTTATCCCTGCGCATCGATCCGCTGACACCCAAGAAACAAACACAGCCTGGTGGAGTCTGTGCATGATTGATGTTTGGTCCTCGACGGCTGTTAAGCTTCCTCGGATTATGCCAGCAGCTCCGCATCTCGACGCTGCCGCCGTCCCTATGGATGAGATTCCGTTCCTGGACTTGGGAGGCATTGATGAGATGTCACCCAGCGGCCGGACGACACTGCTCGAGTCTCCGCTTTTCACACAGATGGTAAAGTTGAACCGGGTGCTCGCCAACATCATAGACTTCAACAAGACGTGCGTTGCCGCCCACCTGGCCGGCCCGGCGCTCGACAGTGGCGTGCAGAAGCTTTCGCTGGAGTTGGAGCATTGGCTTGTCAGTCTCCCACCAAGCATGCGCGACACACCCGAGAACCTGGCTTGGTTTGCCGCCCGCGGGCTGGGTCGCATGTTCGCTGCCGTCTACCTCGGCTATTACTACTTTAGCCAGCTGCTCTACTTCCAGTTCCTCGGTGGCAGTGCCGATGATGTCAGCAGCAGCAGCGGCGGCGGCAACGGCCGCTTGCCGGCGCACGTCGTCTACGCCGAGCGCTGCAAGGACCACGCCGCACGTCTTTGTGAGTTGATCTACCGCTGTGCGGCTACTGCAGGCGCCGACGTGCGGTATCCGATGGTAGCGCACGTTCTTGTCATCGCGTCTACGGTGCAGATCCACACACTGCTTTTTGCCGCCAGCGAGCGACCCATCCGCGAGGCGCGCGCTCGGCTGGAGCACAACTTCCAGATTATCCTACTGGACCTCAAGCCATTCTGGCCCGCTGTCGACGGGGCCATGAGCCGGCTGCGGGCTTTCCACCAGACCTGTCTGCTTCGCAGCGGGGATGGCGTCGGCGGCAGCAGCCCCGGCAGCAGCAGCGCCTTTGTCCTCGACCAGTGGCTGCTGCGCTTTCTGGTTGAGTTCGCGGATCATATGGAGGACGAGCCGCGCGAGATGGACCCGGACTACGAGGCTCTCTGGTCCCTTTCCAAGTGAAGGCGGGAGGACGGCCCTGGCGGTGGTGTGGGCCAGTTTGCGGAGCCGGGTGGGCTGCTTCGGCCCTCGGCGGCACATCCTGGGTCATCCGGACACCAGTAGCGGCGGAAAACACTGAGCCCAGGAGCCCCCTCCATCTCCACCCACTTTTCCGCACGAGCATACACAGTAGATATCACTTATTCATAGAAATTTAGTCAGTGTAGAGATCATCCCTGCCGGCCGCTGCCTCGCCCCTTCTCACCGACATTGACGGGCATGCATCCGGTACTTGACCGGCTCGCGCCGTGGAAATCCGGATTTACTGTCCGGCTCTGATGACAGACACCACTACTTAAGACTTCGTAGGACCCTATCTATCCTTCACGGTGCAAGCAATTGTCTGCCAGCATCCCAAATCACAATGATAGCACCAAGATCTGCTTCCCCGGCCGCGGCCGGAGCGCTTTTCCTGCTCCTAGCCCAATGCGCTGGGGCCATCAACAATGGACTCGCCTTGACGCCGCCGATGGGATGGGTATGAAGCCATTGTTTCCCTTTGGTCCTTGTCTGCATGTTTTGTTCGGTTTTTTTNTTTTTTTTGTAATGGAGCATGAGGGCTGACTGTTCACGTACCGGTAAAGAATAACTGGAATGCGTTTGGCTGTGACGTCTCGGAGCACCTGCTGCTGTCAACGGCTGAAAAGCTTGTCAGTCTCGGGCTGCGCGACCTGGGCTACAACTACGTGGTGTTGGACGACTGCTGGCAGGACCCCAAGGGCCGCGACGAGCACGGGAAGCTGCAGCCCGAGGCGACAAAGTTCCCGCGCGGCCTCAAGGCCATCTCGGACGATCTACATGCCATGGGCTTCAAGTACGGCATGTACTCGAGCGCGGGAGAGATGACGTGTGCCAGATTTGGTAAGTAGATGCGGCGGGAGACGAGCGAGACCCAACGTCAAGAAGAGACAAGGGGGAGGGAGGGTACAAGGGCGCTGACGCAAAGGTCCGACAGAGGGCTCGCTCGACCACGAAAAGGACGACGCGCAGAGCTTTGCCGCGTGGGGCGTCGACATGCTCAAGTACGACAGCTGCTACCACATGGGCCGGATCGGGACGCCGCAGATCTCGTTCAACCGGTTCAAGGTCATGTCGGACGCGCTGCGGGCGACGGGGCGCAACGTGCTGCTCAACCTGTGCAACTGGGGCGAGGACCTGGTGCACACGTGGGGCATGTCCATCGCCAACTCGTGGCGCGTCACGGGCGACATCTACGACTCCTTCACGCGGCCCGACGACCTCTGCGGCTGCGACGAGAACCGGCTGTCGGACCCGTCCTGCATCGCGCCCGGGACGCACTGCAGCGTGCTCTTCATCCTCAACAAGGTGGCCGCCTTTGCAGACCGCAGCATCCCGGGCGGCTGGAGCGACCTCGACATGCTCGAGGTGGGCCAGGGCGGCATGACGGACGACGAGTACAAGGCGCACTTTGCGCTCTGGGCCGCGCTCAAGAGCCCGCTGTTCCTGGGCAACGACGTGCGCGAAATGTCGCCGCGCGCGCTCTCCATCGTCAACAACCCGGCCATCATCGCGCTGAGCCAGGACCCGCACGGCCGGTCGCTGACGCGCGTGAGCCGCGCGACCGACGGCGTGGCCAAGGACGTCTACGGCGTGGGCGAGACGCACGTGTGGGCGGGCCACCTCGCCAACGGCGACCAGGCCGTGGTGCTGCTCAACGCCGGCGCCGAGGACCTCGAGGCCATGTCGGTGCCGCTGTCCGAGATCTTCACGGCCTACGGGCCGGGAGGGTCGGCGCCGCACGTGGGCTTCGACTGGGCCGTGCACGACCTGTGGGCGCACCGCATGCCCGACGAGACGGCGGCGCGGGTGCTGGCGGCGACCTCGGCCGACGAGGGCGCGGCGGTGCTGGCGGGTGCGAACTGGTACAACGCCACCGAGAAGCCGTACGAGGTCGGGCTGCGCGAGGAGGACCCGCGCCTGTTTGGGGAGAGGGTCGGGGTCGTCGAGGCAGGCGGCGTGCTGTCGGTGCCCGTCAAGAGGCACGCGGCGGCTGTGCTGCGGCTGCGGCGCATCGCGGAGGGACAGCAGGGGTTCAAAGCCAAGACGCTGGATCGTGTGGCCAAGGATGAGCTTTGAGATGGAACGGGACCATGTAGAATGAGATAATTTCTTGTTTGAAAAATGAAGACCGCTAAACTATTGTAATCGCTAGTGTCCCCATCGCTGCCCAAAGCCGACCCACATCCATAAGGTATGTAATCGTAAAAAGCCGTTCCAATCTCGGAACAAATCTTCTCAACCCCAAGTCCAACCCTTTCGTCTCCGCGGACCTCGCGTCCTGGTAATCGAGGACGGAAGCGTGGCAGGTGGTGCCGCTCCCGGACGCCAGTTTGGACGACCGGGGCGCATCCTCTGGCTCATCGCGCTTCTGCCGCGCTGGGGCGGCAGGAGCGCGGGCCCCTGCTAGCGCGGAGCAATCACTGTGCTCTTTTGGTTGCTGCAGGGCAGGAGGTAGGTGGGTAGGTGGTGTCTCCCGTCCCAGCTGAATTGCTTGGTATTGGGTGGGGAAAAAAAAAGCGTATTTGCATTCAACGTGTGCATTCGCCGCTCACTCCTCACCGCCCGTACTTGGGCCGCTGGTTGATGCGCTCGTTCTGGTCCTGCACGCCCTTGCGGGTCTCCTGATCGGCCCAGCGCAGGTTCTTGATGACGGGGGGCTCGGCCGACGACCGCGAGCCCGTCGACGACATGCGACGGTGGCGGAGCGCCGACGGCAGCGGCGGCGGCGTGAAGCCCGAGTTGGACGACCCGTACGACGACCCATACGAGTCGTACGCCGACGACGCGGACCGCGGCAGGCTGCCCTCATGGGGTCCCCGCTCGGGGGCCGACGAGGAAAACTCGCGGCCGCCGCGGCTGGTGCGCACGTCGTCGTTGGCCCGCGAGCGCTGGCTGGCGCGCCGGTGCAGCTCTTCGTCGTTGGACGCGTAGCCCTGCGGTGTCGCGGGACGATGGTGCTCGTAGCTGCTGCCGCTGCCGGGCCGCGAGGTGGAGTAGCGCCGGCTGCCGTGGTGGCGGCCGCGCGACCCGGCGTGCTCGACGATGGGCACGGGCCCGATGGGGATGCGCGCCGACACCTCGCCGCGGTCCTCGTACTGCTCCGACATGATGATGGGGCGCCGGCCCCGGGTCTCGTAGGCGGGCGCGATGGTGTGGCCCGTGGGCATGGTGGAGGAGCGCGAGAAGGGGATGGGCTTGCTCTTCTCGGACCTGCTGCTGGGGATGGGAACCGCGGCGGCGGCCTCGCGCCGCTCCTTGTCGCGGCGCCGGCGGCGGTCCTCCTTCTCGAGGTCGTACTGGCGCTGGGCCTCGCGCTCGCGCTGCTGCTCACGCTCGCGGCTGCGCTGTTCCCGCTCGCGGTCGTGGTCGCGGTCGCGGCGCGAGGGGGAGCGCGAGCCGCCCGTGACGACGATGTGGCCGCTGTCGGGGTCCAGGTAGATGCTGGAGCGGCGGCGGCGGCGGTGCGGGGGCCTCGAGGACGAGTCCGAGTACTCGTTGGACGAGGCGGGCGAGACGGTGCGGCGCGACGACGGGCGCTCGTACTGGTCCGGCTGGAGCCGGGCCGTTGTGGTGTAGTTGGCGCCGTACGGGTGCGGCTCGATCTGGTACGCCGGCTGGGCCACGTACTCGGAGTAGTAGGCCGTGGCCGGGTAGGTGGCGTAGGTGGTCATGGTGGCGGGTGCTTGGGGTTTGGCGAGGGCGGTCGAGGGTAGTTGAGGTGGCACCAGAACGCCCCTGAGCCCCTGTGATGGCCCCGAGAGTGAGGTCTCTGGGTGTGGCTGTTTTGGAGAGTGCACGTTGGTTGGCGTGTAGGGTGCCTTTATGGCGAGTTGCAAGCACGAGGTCTGAGGCTGGGAAGATATTTTGACGGTTGCTGGGATCTAACTTCTCGAGCCCCTCGAGTCTCTCCTTCGCCGGCTGGATACAGACACTTGGTTGTGTGTTCAACTCGTTGTGGTTGGGGATATGGCGAGTAGTAGTTGTTGCAGGTCGGGGAGGTTGTTGGGGTCAGGTGTGGTTTATATTAGAAATGGTTTACTTGTACCGCAGGTGACTAGCTGAGGAATAGAGGCCGGCAAGAACAACTGTTGGTGAGTCAGATGAGGCAAGATAAAAACGAGGGTCTACAAAGCTGAATCCCCGAGGGGGATCGCAACGCTTTATGGAAGCTGGCCGCAAGGCCTGGTCATCCAAGCCAAGCAGGGGGAACAGGAGCTGGGGTTCCCCTTGCGACGACGGGAGCCTGTGGGGCCAGCCCACCATCCTGGCACGCTGGCTGGGCTGAGCTTCCATACGCGACCAAGAGGGTCATCGGCTCCACAGCACCCCACCCCACCCCACCCCACCCCACCGCAACGTCGGTACCCAGTGTGCATCAGCGTCCAAGCTTGCTGAGGCAGGGTGGGCAGGTGAGCCAGTGCTGAGCGTGTTCCCGTTGCAGTAAGCCACCACTTTTGGCTTTAGGCTGGCGGCCGCCAAAAATTTCGCTACACTCAATCGCATCCACTCTGAAATCCTCCAGACTCCTTGTAATGACACTGAATGGGTACGGTTCCCGGCCACCCGTGAGCACAGTCCTGTGCTCAGCCAGCTAGGACTGATCCAGACGCGGCATGCGGCTGATTTTTTACTCAGTTGCTGTTGGGTCGCATATCCTACAAGGCTCGTGTTGAGATCAATTATGGGATGGCCGAATTACAGGGTTCTGCAACAGCCACAGACCTCGGAGGCCACCGAGGCCACCAACCACTAGACACTCTTCAGCTCGAGGCTAAGCACCCCCGTGCCATGACGAACAGGCCCCAGGGGCCGCAGCAGACAGAACCCTAGCACCCCAGCAGAGCCTGGCCGCTGGCCCATCGCATGAACTCGAGCACCCTGCCCTAGCGACCCGGACAGGGACGTGCCACCAAAAGAAGGCGGATTCTCCACGTGCCGACGGCCGCTGCCCCCCAGCGTGTCCCTATTCATAGCGACCTCTTTTTTCGCGAAACACGGTTTTTTTTGTTTTTTTTTCGCCTCCCCCCAGATGTAGCCCCATGCTCTGTGCTCTGGACACGCCAGAGATAGCAACACGCCAAAAGTCTGTCAAAAAAAAAATGGCCCATCTGGAGCTCCCAATTCCCGATGCAACGTCCTTGTGCGAGACGGCGCTTGCTCGCGCGGAAAAGCGGTGGCTTGCAACGCGGTTGTTCGGCAGCCGCCGAAATATTCAACGTGGGCCGGGAACGGAGTCGAAGGAATTAAGCTGCATGTAGAAGCGATTCACCACAGCCTGCCAATTTCCGCAGAGGCCTCTTTGGAGACCTCTAGCGTTTTAGGCCAGAATTTACGGCCTACCACAGCCGGGCTGTTGGTTCCAGAGTGAGATTTTGGTGGCTGCGCCTTGCAATTTGCTGGGGCCCACCGGGTCACGGGATCGCGACGCAGCCGCCACGAGACGAACGAGTAGAGAATCGGCCAACGCCGAGTAAAAAGACGGACGGCCTGCAGCGAGGACCGAGTTGTTTCTAATGATGATACGATGGGTGGATGCGTATGATGGGGTTTTGGTGAGCTGGCGTTTATGTCTCCACGACGCCGCCGTCAGGACTGGCAGACTGGCCAACATAATAATACCGACAATAAGATATGCGCGCGCATGATACGAGGGAGCAAAAACAGGGCGGGCCAAGTAAGGCATTCATTGGGCACGAAATATAGACATCTTTTAAGTTGGCCAACAAACAAAACAGGAATCGGGATTATTTGCTGTGGGCCTGCTTCAAGGAGCAGGGAAGTAATGGAACAGCAGCCTTGGTCGCTGCAATGGTGACAGGACGGCCGACCCGTCGATCTTTTCTTTTTATTTCTCCTTTGGGATCGCCACCTACGCAACCTCAGCAACCACGGCAACCCGGAAAGCTGTGCCAGAAATCAGGGTCCTGGCAGCCGTGCAAGTACGGGGTCCAGGGTACACCGTATGGATTGGGCCACGACCGATGATGGCACCAAAAAGTGACTTTGTGAGGGGGAGGGTGGGCCATAAGGTGGCGTCTTTGCATGCACCCCTTTATCGGGCTGCGAAAAGGAAATTTCCAGCATCGCAATGGATTCGTTTCCACGATGGTGACCTCGATTTGTGCCGACCTGTTGGAATGCTCACATTGGCTCCACGCTGCCCCATTCTGGTTGCTTGCGTGTGTAGAGCTGGCCAAAATGCATGGGTTTTCCTTGACGATCCACGCAATATCGCTGCCCAGCCTGGACAAGGCAGAAAAGGAAGGACGAAACAAAACAACGAGGTGTTGGTGTAGGAGGTATCGCGAGACGGAGGTCTGCCGCACGCAAAGGCTGTGGTGTGGTGCTAAAATCCTCAATCGCCACCGAGGGAGGTGGCTTGGCTTGGTGCGCGTGACGCTATTCGTAAAAGCATACCAGGCAGCTCACACTCACCACCGAAAAAAAAAACTTTTAGGGTGCTGCCTAGTAGGTGGGTGGTGGCGCGGCATCCATTTCCAATGCCGACGTTAGACCGTTAAACCTGCAAACTCCGAAACCGCAAATAGGAATTCTCATGTCCGACATGATGCATTCAACCCAATCGGACTAGTTCTTCGCGCAAATGCGAAAACGCACGCCGTCCAACGCCAACCACGCGACGATTTAGATTAACACATTATTTTATTTTATACCACGTAAAGCATGTCATTTGGAGCAACCACAGGCGTAACAAAGTCCAGCCAGGTACGGGGGCCAGACACATGGCGATGTCGGCCGGTTGGCACGGAATGAATGTCTCGCCGCAGGTCGGGTGCCTCAGCGGATGACTCGTCTTGGAGTTGGTGGTTATTGATTCCTACGCACTCGATGTGGGGGAGACCAACTCGATTGTGCTGTGCATACAGTACGCAGTAACGTCCCACAGTAAGCTCGAAGCGACCACCGAGGGTGGCTCGGCGCACCATCAGCGAACACCAAATTTTGGCTGCCTGCGTGTGCACAGTCAGGTCGGGGAATTCGTTACTTGAGGATGGCGTCATTAGAGTCGGGCCATGGCGCATGACGCGATATGGAGGCTCCTGCTAGAGTTTCCTCTCTGCTTTTTTTCTGTCTGGGGAGTAGGTAGCTTTCACCTATGGGAGTCGCTCCGACCTGGCCTGACTCTCCATTACCTGCTGGTGCTTGCCTCTCCACGCTGCATGCCATTTCCACACCGGGCAGGCTGTGCCTCGTCATCCCGCGCCCATTAGTGCCTCAATCCCGCAGCGGGATTTGGAGCATGGAGGCGTGAGCTTGGCCAATCGGTACTTGGGTGGTACACAGATTGGCGGGCGGCAGGCAGGCACGTAGCGAGGCCCCCAAAGTCCTAGACTGAGGCATGTGCGCACATTCAACACTTCAACACTTCTCCTAGATCGGGAAAGCTGCAGCCCGCCTGTCAGCCTGCCAGGTACCCAGGGTGGCAATGCGCCGGCGGCGGCGGGAGGCCTGCGCGGCGGAGGCGTCATCGTATCAATTGTGCGATCAGTCAATAGCGTAGCTCCTCGCTGGGCTGCGGCTAGTTTACGAAGCGTGAACTCCCTCGAGGTGAACTCCCTCGAGGTGAACTCCCTCGAGGCAAGTACCAACCTACTGCCTCGGGCCCTTCCTAGCCCTGTTGCCCTGATCCGGCAGCCTCCGTGCAGCGACGCAGCTAGCGGCGGTGACTCAGGCCGACATGACGAATCGGCCAATGTTTGGAGGGATCAATTTGATCGCTCTGGTGTGGGGCGAACTTTCCGGCACCTGACAGCCCAGCACATACATCATCATTCATCCCAAGACTCCAGTTCTTTTCCCTCCCCATCGGATCGGTTCACGTCTGTGCTTGTCAAAAGGCAGAGTCAAATTGTCGCTGTTGGTGGGGAAATACCGAACATGTTTGCCCGGAATCCAGAATGCTTAAAAAATCTATTTCGGGCCACAGGCGCTCCTACTCTGCACCTTCCCTCGTTTCGGATCTAAACATGGCGACGTAGGTCAATTGGATCTGGCGTCGTCTTGCCACCACCCAGCGCGCCTGCTTGCGGCCGCGGCCGATCTGATGCAACAGCAACCGCCGACGACTGCACCTTGGTCGTGTTGGATTCCAGAACTTCCTATGTGAACCCACCTGCACTCCGCTCTGTTGGGTAGTGGTAGGCGCTTGCCTTTTGGGTTCTTTCTATCACCATGTTCAATTGGCTCTGGGCTCTGGGCTCGGTTAGAGGCAGGTACCAGGCACGCGGGTCCTAATGAGGTCTCGACGAGCAATGGGAGCAGTTCAGTCTTTTGTTTGTCTCAGTCTTCTGTTTGTTTTCCCTTTTCTCCAACCCAACAACCTCCACCATCCGCCGCATCAACGGGCATTACTACAAACATCTTGGCAGCCATTCTGCCACCCAAGCATAGACATCACATGACCTTTATCGACTTTGTGTATTCGCATAGACATCCTCTTCTCTCCTCGACTGTAATCTGTGCCTCCCTCTCGCCAGCGCTTTCTACGAAGCCATCATGTGGCCAAAGGCTACGCCGCTCGCCTAGCGGGCAGCAATCATCCCAGCCTTGGGCGGGTTGATGCTCGGCTGCAGCATGTACGCTTCCCAATTTCGATGGCTGTACGATTCGATTTGCTGACCCTCTCGCATCATATAGTGCCACGGCAGGCGGCCTGACGGGCATGGCCGACTTTCGCGCACGCCTTTCGCCGGGCGGCTTCGGCCCCGTTGTGCACGGCTTCGTCGTCGGGGCATTCCCAGTCGGCTGCCTCGTGGGATGTGTCTTGGCTGGCCGCTTCGCCGACACGTTGGGCCTGATCCGGTCCATGTTGATGGCGGCCATCTCGGCCTGCGTCGGTATCAGCATCCAGATCGGCACCATCTCCTCTTGGCCGCAGTTCGCTGCTGGCAAGCTGGTCGAGGGCTTTGCCATCGGGGCGCTGTCGGTCATCACCCCAATGTACCACGCCGAAACCGCCCCTGCCAGCATCCGAGCAATGGTTACCGTATCCTTCCAGATAATGGTGGTTTCGGGCATTTTACTGGCACAGCTTGTCATCTATGGGACTTCGAACATCCCGAACAGCCTGTCCTGGCGTCTCCCCCTTGCCCTCGAGATACTGATCGCCGTCCCGCTTGGCATTGGCAGTTTTTTCCTCCCGGAATCGCCCCGGCTTCTCCTAAGCCAAGACCGCGAGCAGGAAGCTAGGGTGGTGATTGCCAAGCTCAACGACGTCGATGTCTTCCACCCCACCGTTCAAGACCAGGTCCAAGCTTTTCACCAAAAGTCCATCGAAGCCAAGAGCCAAGAACAGTTGAAGCGGTGCGAGTTGTTCACGGCGCCTGCCATGGCCCGTCGCCTGTTGATCGGCATTATGCTTCAGGCTGGTCAGCAGTTGACGGGCATCAATTTCTTTTTTACTTTGGCAACGACGTCCTGTCGGTCACTGGCGTAGGCAATGGCTACGTCTGCCAAATCATCCTGGGCCTCGTCAACCTGATTGCCACTCTTTTCGGCATTCGCGTTGCCAAACATTGCTGTCGTCGGAAAGCTCTGATCAACGGGGCTCTCGTCATGTTTTCTTGCTTCATGTGAGTATCACGCTTCCATGCCCCGTCATTCAACCTTTTTGCCATGTTACTAACCAGGCTGCTTAGTGTCTTTTCAACGATTGGAGAGTTTGTTCTTTCCAAGAACGGCACCAACAAACAACTGGGTCCAGGGCTCTGCATGCTAGCCGTTGCCGTCATCTTCATTGCCGCCTTTGCCATGACCTAGGGCCCTCTTGTTTGGGCGGTATGTGCGGAGCTGTTTCCAGCTCGCCATCGGTCAGCTGCTCTCGCCATTGCCACGGCCGCGAACTGGACGGTCAACGCTGCCATCGGCATCAGCACGAGCCACATCCTGGCCAAAATCCACTTCAAATATGGCTACTTCTTTGCAGCGTCGTGTTTGGCTCTGGCTTTTGGGGTTTGGCGATTCCTCATCGAGCCCAAGGACCGCGCCATGGATGAGATTGATCAGTTGTATCTCGAAAAGGCTGACGCTCGCAAGGCCCGTTGAGGCTGAGACGCGAACCGTCCTCGCTTTGGTGAAGAATGTCGTTCAGCTCTCGGCATCCAGAGCAGAGTGTGTAGCCGTTTTGGCTTCGGTTGCGTTTGCAGTCAGATGAGTACCTCGATACCTAGTTTCGAGTGTGTTGGCTGGACGGAGCCTTGGGTTGTTTGTGGGGTGCAGGCTTGTGTGGGCAATTTTGTCTGGGGCGGGGGAGAGATGAGAAGTCTTGGAGGGCTATTGATGGGGGCAGGTCTGTGTCCCGGCGTAGATCCTGCTCCTCTTTTCTTGTCCCATAGGTTCCTACGGCGCCAATCGAGACATGGCAGCTGCACAAGATTTGTGTTACCGCATGAATGGGCCATGCATAGTGCCAGTTCACGATGCACCTGAACCGCATATTAGGCCATCGACTTTGGCCGCGTTGAGGGCCAGCCAACAAAAAACCCAAGAGCCTCTCTATTTTTGGCAGCCCAACCCTGGCCCTGTTCTGGCCAAAACCGGTGGCCCTCTCGCAGGGCTGCAGAATTGGCTCGGCTGCGTTGCCGAACTGGCAGGGTCTCGCATTTGGGTCCTGCGACGCAAATAGCAGACCCTCCCTACCCCCTGGGACGAGTCAACCCCCCGGGAGGTGTTACGGATGGCATTCCTTCCATGCCCACCCGGGCTTCTTTTGCCTCTCTTTTTTTGCACGCCCTTGTCGAACCGCGCGCGTCGGCACGCCCGATCGTCCCCACGGGTTCCCTGGAATGGCCTACCCGCCGCGACGGGCGAACGTCTCCAATTCTGCTGGCCACACAGGTCGTGTGCGGGTCCGGTCCCTCGGGTCGACATCCTCCCTGATGCGGGTTCAGGCTGGGGAGAGGGGGGTCGGATGGGAATCGACGGGGGCAGGTGGCTACGGGCAGGTAGGTAGGGCTGGGATATTTGTCGGGATCATAGACCCGATTCCTTGATGTCCCAAGGGGGAACAGACGGGCCGTTGATGTACACAGTACTAAAGATGCCACCCTCCATCCTGGTCTAGATGTGCGAAAGCAGGGCGATGGCTCTGCTATGCCGTGCATGCTCATCATCGGGCCGATCCTGGACTGGGCGGGCATCCAAGCCCGGATGGGCGTGTGTCGGGCTTGTAGCTGGATAGTCGGGCAGATAGGTATATGTAAAGTTCTTGGTAGCAGGGTAGGCATCTACAGACATGTGCTTCAATATACGATATCCAATGTCTTGTCGAGTTGACGTAGCACTGGCTGGTGATGAGAGGGGAGGTTAATATAGAGCAAGTCGTGGGATTGATAGCTGTAGTCATGTGTGATTGGACGGCGGATACATGGCGATATTGCCGCCAACTTTGCCGGCATCGCCATGGAACCGGCAATTCTAACCGTAATATAGGCGACGCCGTCATTGGGAGGCGTGGCGTGGCAGATTCTGCCGGTCTCTGGGAGACGTACTAATAGAGCGGGCAGGCCGGCGGCGGCGCGGGACTTGTCTGCTGGAGAGAGGTGGTCATCCGTGGGCTCTGGTTTGTTTTCGATATTTGGTCACCATTTCGAAAGCTTTATACTAGTGTCTCTTTTCTCGGGAGTCCATCTGCTCTCAATCACGGTAACCATCCAGCCCATCAACCACCGCCATGGTCCGTACCGTCCTCGCCGCGGCCATGGCCGGGCTCGCGCAGGCGGTGCCGCAGTTCACAGGCGGGCCCTACACGGGCATGACGATGCTGCGGTTCGGCTGCACCAACGTCGTCGTCGACCGGCTCGACCCGCTCGTCAACCCGGGCGTGCGCGGGTCCCCGCACCTGCACCAGATCGTGGGCGGCGACGGCTTCAACACCACCATGACCACGGGCGACGTGTCGACGACCGCGCAGTGCACCACCTGCGTCTTCAGCGAGGACCTGTCAAACTACTGGACTGCCAACTTGTACTTCAAGGCGCGGAACGGCACCTATAAGCGGGTGCCGCAGGGTGGACATGCGTGGGTTTCTCTGTCGTTCTGCTCCTTGCTTGCCTGCTGGCTGACGTTTTGTCTCTCACCCTGATTTAGCTTCCAGTTCAACGATAGGTTCAGCACGCAGACCCAGGGCGGTATCCTCGTGTACTACGCGGCCGACCAGCCCGGCAAGATCACCGCCTTCAAGCCTGTACGTTCCAGTTTTTCCCCCTCCCCGACTCTGATTCTAGAGGATGCGCAGCAGTGCTAACAGCAAACCAGGGCTTCCGCATGCTCGTCGGCGACCCGAACGAGCGGTCGAGGCGCGGGACCAGCATGAAGCGCCAGAACTGCTACCGCTGCTACACCGGGCCCAACTTTGGCGGCGACACGGGCGCGCCGTGCATGGACGACCGCGTCGACACCGAGACGCTGCCGAACAAGGTCTGCCCGGGGGGCATTCGTACAAACATTCTGTTCCCAACGTTAGTAGTCCCTTGCTTGCTACTTAAGCTTTTTTTTTGTTCAGCCCTTTGGGCCTCACCTGATCTCTCTCGCTAACGTGATCTGGTCTTCTTCTTTAGCTGTTGGGACGGCAAGAACCTCGACAGCCCGAACCACAAGGACCACGTCGCCTACCCCGTGACGGGGCCGGCCAACTTCCTGGCGCGCAACGGTGCCTGTCCGGCGTCGCACCCGGTGCGCATCCCGCAGGTCAGTGACGCCAGCCCCCCCTCCCCCTGAATATTTTAGTCCGCTATAGACTAAACTAAACACGGCCCGCGAGCACAGCTCATGTACGAGGTGGTCTGGGACACGACCAAGTTCAACGACCGCTCGCTGTGGCCCGCCGACGGCTCGCAGCCCTTTGTGCTCAGCATGGGCGACCCGACGGGCCTGGGCCAGCACGGCGACTACGTCTTTGGCTGGCAGGACGACTCGCTGCAAAAGGCCATGGACCGGTCCGGCTGCTTCGGCGCCGAGTGCGGCTCCCTCAAGACCCAGGCCATCGACCGCGCCCGTGGCTGCACCGTGCCGCGCCGCGTGCACGAGGACATTGATAGCTGTGAGTGTGCGCTGTGTTTTGCGGATAAGTGTCCAAGTCGCTGATGCTGATTCTTGCTAGGGCTCACTGAGCTTCCCGGATCTACCGAGTGGAGCAGAAAGGCGTAGGTTGGGGGATCCGTACCTCTGCCATCCCTGCTGTCATGACAGGGTTGTGAGAGAGCAAATTTCAGATTGCCAGGCATGGGAGCTGTTGGATACTGTTGGGCGGTGCATGCACCTGTTTGAGTGCGCGGGACAGGCCTTTGGCCATCTGGATCGTGTATATCTACCAATTTTCTCGCTTCCTTTGCAGGATCCATGCCATTATTGTTAATCCCATTCGGGTATATCGTTGCATACACGGTAGCACCTCCCCCTCATGGGACCCTCGTTCGCAGCTGCACGCCGTGCCACTCCTTCATCAGGTCCGCCAGCACGGCGTTGACCATGCGCTGCTGCTTGAGCATGCCGTGGCCGCGGAAGCTCTCGGAGCTGATCTCGATGCCGTACATGGACCCGCACCCGCCCGAGATGTCCTGCACCGCCAGCTCCGCCGGCGCGAACTCGGCCACCAGCCGGTCCCAGATGACCGTCTCGGCCTCGTTGAGGTAGTCTGGCTTGGCGGGCGCCGCCGGGGACGACGCGCCGTCTGTTGTTGGGGCCGGAGAGGAGGGGGAGGATGAGGACGAGGACGAGGACGAGGAGTGGGCGGCTCTTGCGGCGGCGAATTGGGCGTTGCGTAGGCGTGCGGGTCTTGTCCGTGGCGCTCGGGTGGGCGCGCGCGCCGGGTTGGTATTGTCTGCTGCGGCTTGGGAGAAGGGCCGGTGGAGGAGGGCGGCGGGGGCTGGACACGCGCGGCAGGCCGGGATGGCGGCCGAGGCTGGCCGGGCGCTTAACCTGAGGAGCATTAGCGGCGGTATCGGGCTGTCGACGAGCTGGGAGGTGGGTGTGTCGCGGGGAGGCAACGCGATGCGCTTTGCGGGGAAAGTTGACGGGATCGATGGGCGTCGGCAAAGCTGTTTGCAGGGGTGGCGTTGGGGCTTGAGAATTATGACATGTGGGCGCCGCGAGGTGGGTCCCAGGAATTGAGCTCCTGTGTGTGGCTGTGGCTCACGTCAACTGCCGTTGCCAAGCGGCTGCGACTGCGGGATTAGCTTCAATCATGTCGGCAAGAAAAATACCAACAAAAGCAGTTTGCCTGTCTTCTTTCAGATCCAGTACCCCCTGCGTGGCCATTTTCAAATACAACTCGGGCAGCGACGCATAATCGACTCTGATGGCTCACTCATCGCGCAATTTACGCGCATTTCACGCTGTTCATTCGAGACTGCCTATCAACGACTGTCGTTGAGGGCACAAGCTCTTTAAACCTGCCAATACCAGCAATGCTCCCCTAGTCTGTTCCCTACGCTCTACTCCCTTATCCCGCCAAAGTGAATCCCTTCCGTTAGGGTGGAACTGGAAAGATGGAAACTTTTAAGAAATATAAGACCAGCACCAGGAATACGAATACCAGCCACAACTACTGGGGGTACAAGTTCATATTGTCCACCGTACTTATGCTGCTGACGTCGTCGTCAACGAAGCCCTCGTCGGATCTGCTCGCTCGCTTTTTCAGCGAATCCCAACGCCCCACCAGCGACGACGACAGGCGCGCCGAGTCGTGCTGCAGCGGCTGCAGGGCCGGCTGCGGCTGTGGCACCGCCGGCTGGGCCTCTGTCGAGACGGAAAAGCTCGACGCCTTCGAGACCTTGCGGAGCCGTCGCTCCTCGGCGTCCATGGCACGCACGACGGCCGAGCCGCCAGGGAGCCGCACGTCCTCGGCGCCCAGCGTCTCGGCGATGTCGAGCAGCAGCACGTCCATGGGGCACAGGTAGGCGACGCGCTTCTTGTCGCTCCACGCGAGCACGTGCCCGCACAGGCGGCCGTGCTCGCGCTCGACGATCCAGGCGCCGCTGTCGCCGGGCACGCCGAGCGGCAGCGGAGGCCTGTCTTGCCGCTGCCGCTGCTGCTGCTGCTGCTGCTGCTGCTTGAGCTGCTGCAGCGAGGGCGTGCCGGCGACCTGGTACGAGTGGCTCGGTGTCTGACGCCCGTAGATCTTGATCGAGACGAGGGCCGGCAGCACGCGACCGCTCTGCAGGCCGCTGGTGCGCGCCATGCACTGCACCTCGAGGCCTGGCAGCGCCGACGCGGGGGCGACCGTGATGGGCTGCAGGTCGCCAGTGGCGGCAGCCGGCGCCTCGCCGTCGTCGGGGCTGAGGCGTGGTATCAGGTTCCTGCTCGGAATCCGGTTCCTGCGGCCCTCTTCGTCAAACTCGATCAGGGCCCAGTCGATCTCGTGGACCAAGCCGTTGTCGTCGGTGCGGCGCCGAATGCCGCTCGACGCGTGCACCTCGCCGATGGCATGGCTGGCCAGGTGCTCATCGTCGGCGGTGTCGGGGTCCGGGAAGAAGCCGTCCTTGACGTCGTCGAGCGCAGGCTGCGTGACGACGTAGCCATCTCCGCACCCGACCTCAACGCCTGGTATATCGCCAGGCTCGCTGGGCGTGTCATCATCGTCATCTTCGTCTTCGTTGTTGTTCTCGTCGTCGTCTTCGCTGGTAAAGGCCGAGTCGGAGTAGGCGTCGGACTCGCTGTCAGAGAACTCGCATGCGTAGTCGGACTCGTTGCCGCTGCTGCTGCTGTAGCCGGTTGACTGCTCGGCCTGTAGGTCGGCGTACCACTGCGACAGCGACGCATTTAAATCCATCATCTCCTGGGCCGTGGCGCTGCTGCGTAGTATCTTCTGTATCTGCTTTTCCGTCGCCGTGTTCTCGTCCACCCCGCCATCGGGGTCGTCAAGCATGTGATGCACTGTCATGCCGTATGGCTTGTCGTCCACCAGGACTACTCCACCGAAGCTGACTGGCGGCAGGTGCCGGTCGCCAATCCACGCCCCGATGCTCGCCCCGTTTCCCGGCTGCTCCTGGAAGTCGCCGTTGGCCGGCTCCAGCGAGCCTCCATGGTGATGCTCCTTTGCACCGGCCACCGCCGCCGTCTTGCGCGAGCGCAAGACTTGCCCCCTGCAGACCTTGAGGGCAAAGCCGGTAGGGTCGTCGAAAAGGGTTCCCAGCTGCTTTTTGAGGATGCTGCGCACCTTTGAGACTGAAGTGCAGACCACCAGGACCGTGGGCTTTGTCTCGCGCGCCGATGCGCCGATGGATTCGAGCGAGATCTCGACCGACTCGGGGTGCTTGCGGTTGAAGTGGCGGAGCGCCTGGTTGACCTGCGGCATGATGTGCTTGTTCCACCGCTCCACCGCGTCGGCCGGCAGGGGGACGTGCGGGTACAGTCGAGACTTTGCTGCCGACTTCCTGGCTTTCGCTTGTATCTCGCCGGGCAAGGGGAAAGCTAAAGGACACAGCACTCGTCAGAAGAGAGCAGAAGGGGTGGCAAAGGAGCCAGCACTTACTCTCGATGACGACGGGTGTGGTTTGGGTGAAGCCTGGCGGCGGCGGCCCTTGTCTTTCTGGGATGACCTGCAAGACCGGCGCCTTCGCCGACTTCGTAGACTCTTTGGACGAACCTCCCGCGAACTGCTGCGGAGGCACGGCGACCGGGGGCGGGCGCGGCTCTCCTAGGTCGTCGCTCAGGCGCTCCTCGAGCCCACTAACGCCGTCAAGGATGCAGCACGCCTCGAGATAGCGGCTAGCCTTGACCTGAACCCTCGACAGCAGCTGGTCGCCGCCGCTCTGGCCCGAGAGCTCCTTCTCGACGGCGGTCCAGCAGGCCTGGACGGCCTTCATGTAAAGGGTGCCGCAGCGGATGGCAAGCTGGTCGAGGAGGCCGACGGGTATTTCGGTCGAGCCGGCGTGCGGCACCAGGTTCTCGAGGTTCGTCCACAGGCCGATGGAGAGGAGGAGCATCGAGAGCGAGTATAAGTCAAAGACACGCGACTCGGCGCCGTCGCTCGCCTGGCCGGTCAGGCGGGGGTCGAGTGGGTGGCGGTACAGCGAGAAGCCCGCAGCCGGGGGTGCCGGGGCGGCGGCGGCGGCGGGGTCCTCGAACGGGGAGCCGGGGAAAAGGTCAAAGGACGACACGAGCGGACGTCGGATATCAACGTCGGCCGTGTTCATGGCCGGATCATTTCCGACGGCGTTACAAAAGGAGATGTTAGTGTCGATTAGGTTGCCGTGGGTAATGCCACGTGCGTGCATGTCAAAGACGGTGTTGGCCAGATTGGAGGCGAGACGGAACTTGGCCTCGAGCTTGGGCTCAAAGTCCGGGCGGCGCAGCAGTTCCGAGAGGGAACAGAGGCTGTATAGTGGGTTCTGGGTTAGGTTCTCAAACGAGACGGGGTTGAAGGTGGGCGGGAACTGATAGACGAGGCCCAGACGCGAGTGCTCCATGTCCTCAAAGTAGGCCAGTAGGCGGGGTAGGCCGATCCAGGCGCCGGTCGAGCGTTGCGAGTCGGTCTGAAGGCCGGCCGAGAGCCGCTCGAAGCGGGTCATGGACGGCATGATGCCGGCGTCCGAGTATATGGGGTCGAAGTTGGCGTACTCGAGTAGTAGTGGGGCGTTGGGCTGGCGACCCTGGGCGGCCGAACCGGCCTGCGGAGCTGCCACGTCGGCGTAGGCCTGCTTGTTCATGAAGACGATATCTCGCGGGCGCTGCTCGCCCGACACGGCCTCCTCGGACATGGGCTCGGCCTGGATGGAGCGCAGGTTGGTCAGGGTCCTGGGGTCGATCTGGCGAGCCGTCTCAAGGCGTGAAGACTCGAAGGCGCGCATCTCGTCGGCGGCCCCGGCGGCCTTTTGCTGGTCGGCGCGCGAGCCCGGGCCGCTGGAGCGGGTACGCGAGAGATCGTAGAGTGTGTCGATAGAGGTGGTCAGGTCGCGCACCAGGTCCTCAAACCGGCCCTTATCCCATGGCACCATGGGCAGCTGCTTGCCCTGGGCGCTGGCGGAGCTGCCCTTCTCCTTGGACGAGTCGCGCTCGCCGATCAGGCGGCGTGAGCTCTGCCACAGCGGCTCGGCCTCGGCCAGGATGTCCTTGATGGTGGACATGATGCTGCCGACGACCTCGCTGAGTCCGGCCTTGGACAGGGAAGTGTCAATCAGGAGCTCGGCCGACTCCACGGCGGTGTTGTCGGACCATTCCAGCCCCCAGCTGACCAGGCGGTCCTTCTGGATGCGCAGCTTGCGGTGCAGCGCCCTGATGTCAGGGTCGTCGCCATTGTGGACGGGCTCCTTGAGGAAGTCGGACGATTTCTTAGTGTCGTTGTACAGCCTGCTCAGTCGCCGCTGGACCGGGGCCACGCTGGCCGGAAAGTAGCCCTCCATGGCGGGCGACTACGACGTTTGCTGGAACAAAGGGATGGCCATACACCAGGGACGTGGGGAGGGTGTGGGCGGGTTGGCGTGGCTTATAGAAGACGGCCGAAGGACAGCACTGAGCAGATATGGAGCCGCAACACGACCAGCGAAGCAGTCTGGCTGGAGTTAGTGGTAAGCAGCAGGCTTTGTTCTAGAAGGGAGGGTCGGCGATTGGCAGTGTCTTGGCAAGATCACGGCTTCCAGCGATGGGGGATGGCCTGGGATGGTGCAGAGGGTGCAGAGTGCAGCTGGTGGGTGGCTCTGGTGAGGGTGGAGTGGCGAGAGCCTCAGGAGTGCCGAAAGGGGAAGCTAATCGAGCAGAAGATGAGCAGTCAGACAGCCAGTCAAGGCCGTCCTTCTGCCCAATATCTTTGCAACAATCCTCCAAGGCAACAGACTGCAGTAGCACCAGACTCAGCAGCGCATCCTGGACACCATGCCGTGGCAAAGCCCCAGATCCGTCAAGCCAAATAACAAAAATGAGAAAAAGGGGGGGTCACGAGCGGCTAGGGCCTCGTGCTTGGCTTCCTATGAGCGAACGGGAAGGCGGCGGATTGGTGAGCTCCAATTCCCTGGTGCCTACATGTGGTGGTAGGCCCACGAAGGCGTGTGGGTGAGCAGCCAGCGCGTCTCAGAGCGAAGATCCAAAAGAGCAATCTCGCAATCTCGGGCGGGCGGTGCCGTCGAATGGCAAGCTTCCGAAATGCTGCTGCCTGATCTTGATGGACTCGCCAGGCGGGGCAGTCTGCAGGAAATGTTGATGCCTGCCCTCCATGCGCCATCCATGTCGTGCCACCACGGGCAGCGGGGCCTGTGGCGCTTTCATCACAAGCTGATTGGGCCCGCGCCCCGACACCCTTGGAAATACCGCGGCTACAGGCAAGACATCACATGACATGGCGCAAACAGCTTGCATCTCCAGCTCTTGATTGCGGATGCTGCTTGTTCAAGGAAGACCAAGCCAAGCAAAGCGTCTACCTCAGTTGCGGCTCGCTGAGCTCGCTGGGCTTGATGTTGCACTTGTATCGAGGTTGGCACGGACGCAAGGCCGCGGACCAGCGACGGCTGTGGAGAACACGGTAGGCTAACAGGGCTGGATTGGATACCTGGAGATATCTACACAGTATATTGTGTTTCAACCATGTAAATTAGCTGAACGGTGAGTGCCCGAGCGACTTGGCCCGTAGTCCGATCGTTTTCTAGGGCTGTTTCCACCTGGTGGTGGTGGCATGGATCTGATGGTATGGATCCAGTGCGGAACCATTGAACCGACGACGCATCAGGAACATAAACTCGTTTGTTCCATCCCTTCTCGACCTAAACCGTCAGGTAGCGAGCACTATCTACCTAACCGATTACTAATGCTTCGCTCTCGCGTGGTTGTATGCACTCACTTGGTCGACTCCGTCAGCATCTTCCAGATCCGGGAAACAGTAAAGAGCTGAGAGTCCGACCGCTCTGGGGCAGGTCGACATCCACTCTAGCCCTCCAACCATGGAGGAGGGATTTTACGAGCGGCTCCGTCCAACCTTGGCTCATCCCGCTGCCGCATTGGCCCCTCTTGATTCCTCGGCTTATTCCGTCGGGCAGCCTAATGATCAGGAGGATTCAATAGCTGGAACACCTCGGACTGTACCCATGTTGTGTTCGATATCCCTCCCCACCCGTGGGTGCGGCAGGCCACTCTCGAACGCTACCCCGTACCGAGACCGCCCCTGAACCTGGTCGGAGCCTCTAGCGCCCGACTGTAGACAGCCAGGGCCCCCACACTCGCCGCCAGAACCGGCGCTACTTCTGTTGTGCCGCACAAAAATACGATGCCACGACCCTGGGTCATTATCAGATCACGCTCGGGGGCGCGCGGAGCGTCAAAGCCGGAGTCTCTCACAGACCAAGATTCTGGGCCAAGCCGGCCAAGCTAGCTGGCGCCGCGGCATGCAGAGTAATATGATCGACAAGGTCTCAGAGCCAATCTGCCAAGTCATTTAAGCTGCTGCCTAGATTCCCGGATAGCCTTGTCCAGTACCACCCACCCTATCGGGCCCCGTGATAAGTACGACGCCCAGACCACCGAGGGGACGAGGGCTGGCTCGACCACACCCAGCGTACTAAGACAAGCCACCACCCTGATATGCATGGCGCAGGACTGCTGGCATTATGATGTGTTGGATGGCGACTATGCCGCCGTCGTCGTCGCAAATGTCGGAGTTGTGGGTCGAAAACCAATCCCCAACTGTCTGATCATGCGGGAGGCCAGCATCACCCCTAACAGCTGGCGATATGTTAGGATCGCTCTGGCCACCACCGAAATGACAAAGCGAAGGAGTGTTAGGGCTTTGCTGACCTGTAATAGATACCTAGCCGCGCTCGTGGCCCCTTTGCAATGATGGAAGCCGAGATCAGGTGTAGATTCAGCACACAAACGCCGACCAAAGGGAGGTTTGACCCCATTGCTGCCTAGTGTTTGAAGATTCTGACCTGCGTGGCGTGTTTTACACCGACTTTCAAGGGACTTTTGTCCATCCTGCTGTGCTTGGAAGGGGCAGCCCCGGACTTTGGTCTTGGCTTCGCCGAAGCTGCCCGAATAGTAGTTCCAATTTTAGCAGCGTTTGGTGCCAGTATTGAAATTTCTATGCAGGTTTCAGCTTGCTTGTGCGGCGGTGGCTTGGGCAGCAAGCCGGGGGTTCTTGAAATGACGAAGCACCATCGTTCAGATCCCGTCAAATACTCGCTCGGCATCGGCGAGGAATAAGACCTTGGTGTTGGTAATCCCTGGCCCCTAGGGGTGTACATGCTCCTTGGCGCAAGCTATGGCGAGGGATACATAAGGATGACCGTCGGGACGTGGCGCTTGATAGGCTGACAGTTCCCCAGTCTCCCACACAGAAACCAAATATGGTGTAAGCGAGGTGGCGGGGTGGGATATAGTCAGGCGTGTCATTCCGATCCTTCTCTGCACAGGTTTGAGGGTTTTTGATGCTTCGCCCCATGGGTTTTCGTCACTTTGCTTGATCTTGGGAAACGCATTATCGACACAAGGGTGAATGTATTGCGTTTGATAAATTTGGATCTTTAAACGCAACGTCCCCACGTGCTTCTCTGTACACATTCCTTATACTTGTATCAGCCATCGATCTGGGTGCCTAAAGCCATGAAGGAAACGGACATCATCGCCAGTGATTCTTGTTGATGGATAGACCAAGAATCTCGAATTTGTAGCAAATGGTCGCTGCCATGTGATGCACCTAGTAACGACAGGAGGATTTATTTCACCACTCAGACACACCCATTTAAAAATTATAATAAGGGGGTTTCATGCGTCCACCCACCCGACTGTTATCGAACAATAATCCAGGACCGTGGCAATCGGTTTACCCTGTAACTTTCATTGTCCTTTGCAACCACCCCGTTGTCTCCTATATTTCTCTCCAGTCCTTGAGGATAGGGAAGGTTTGGCCTTGCTGTGTACATGATAAGCATGCAAGGGAGGAATTCTACTTTAAAGTCGTGTACAGATTATAAGGGATAGCTGGGCATTGAAATGGCCGACGGTGTGGCTTGGTGTAAATGGATGCCGTCGCCGTCTGGGGAACAGGACCCACTTGTCCTTTCAAGAGAACGGCACCTGGTCGATACGGTTCCGTGTCTGACAGTCCTTACTGTTTAGATCTATAAAGTACAGGTTCGCAGACTTGGACAACGCAAACAGGCAGGCTCGCATCTCTCTGAATGGTGGAATCTTTTGTCCGAATGACATAGGCCGCGATTGGATAGAAACTGCTCACCGTTCAATGCCGCGCTTTTGCGGGGCTACTTCCAACAACCGACCCCATGCCAGCCTTGCCAGGCCGTGTGACAGGAAATAGGCTCGGGGATAAAAAGTTCTTTTTCATAATGATGCATCGCAGGTTAGAAAGAAGCAGAGAAGCAGGGATGACGAGGGGGAGAGGGGTTGGCCGCCAAGGTGCAAAATCCGGGGAACGTCACAGCTGGACCCATCGACATGTCCCCGCACTTGGAGTGCCCTTGTTTTTGGGAGTGGGTCTCCAACAATGGCGATCGAGTCCACCGACATGGACTGGACAGTGAGGTTGCGAATCTGATTGGGGCATATTAAGTCCTACCGTGGTTTGCTGGATTCTGAGGATGCTGGAGATGCGCGGGGAAACAGCATGCTCCTTGTTTCCCGGCAAAAGAGGCCGGTTGGTGACGGGTAGGGTTATGCAGTTACGGCCTCGGGGATACCACGGGCCTGATGACGTAGGCAGCTGACGTAACTGCACTGAACTGGCTGCTCCTCTGCTTGACTTCAATGCCTTGCTTGACTTTAATGCTCCAAGAAAAAAAACACCCTCCAGCCAATACAGCGACACTGGCTGCGCCTCTGCCCCGACCCATCTCCGGCTTAACTCGATTGTCGCTACGCCTTGGCTTGCTGCAGCTCGACGGCCAAGCAAGGCGGGGGGTTTGCATCCTGCCAACCATCAGTGCCATCCACCACCCAAGCTCCACCCCCGCACGACTTTGCGTCTCATTCATGGACCAGCAGCCGAGCAGGAGAGCCTGTGCAGATGGCAAGCTCCCTATTGGTTGCGCTGTTAATTAACGGCCCGCCCAGCCCCAAGGTGGATGAACCGGACGCATCTGAATCCCACAGGCGTCCCCCTGGCTCCCACGCCAACCGACATACCCACCAAGTCAGCTTGCGGACAGACGGAGACAAAGGACCGGCCGCCCTTTGCCGTTTTGCATATCCGAGAAGGGCTTACAGGCCGGCCCCAGGTGGGTAGCGACCGTGACGGCAAGCTAGTCTGCATCTGGTGAGCTAGCTCAACCTCCAACAGCAGCTTTTGCCAGTCTTCTTGAACTGTGCTATTTCGTCATTGTTACTACCTCGAGGCAAACAGCACCGCGCATCTGCCCAACGAAAACTGCGTTTCTCTGCGCCAAGAGAGGGCCTGCCAAACGGGCAGACGCCCAGCTTCACAGCATCCACACGACGACGGGCTGCCCCCATGCGGCAGTGAGCAGCACAGCACACCCACCCGAGCAGCCCGCGCAGGAGGGGTAGTACGGGTGATACGCAAGAGAGCATGGCCAGGAGAGGAAGGATGATGACAATGCCCAATGGTTGGACAGTGCCAAACACAGCCGAGATGCCGACATAAAACCTTATCGATGCAAAGCCACCTGACCGCGCCTGGTCGATATCTCGTCGCTCTCGCTACCTGAAGCGGCATGCTTTACCGTGGAACGTCAGTATCGCCAACATGCCGCCGCGAGGGGTTCCCTGACCGGCCCAGCAACATACATGTTCACTCAATATCATACCCCCACGGCATGGGTATCGCCGGCTATTCCTGCAATCCTTGTGGGCATATCCCGGCAGCCGTGGGGTCTCCATCACCTCTACCCTGTCTTCATCTCACCCCCCGCCTCCACGTCGCAGGCCAAAACGAGAGGAGAGCTGCACTGATGCCAAGAACGTAAGACGGCAGAACGTCTTTGGTGCTTCTGCTGTCCCATTGGCCCCCCGCGGCACTGGTGCTGGGCGGCGAAAGAGGGGAAGGCGAGGAGGAAGTGAGGGGGTGATGCATGGCAAGCCGTGTCACAGAGAGGCAGCCCAGCCCGACCCATCATGTCGGCAAAACGGAAGACGAGAGACGGCAGGAACATGCCTGCGGGGAAGGAAGCTTCAGACGACGCAGTATGTTCAAAAGGGTACCCGGGAACCTGCCAACCACACCCGGATCTCGCCCCTTCTTCCTCGTCTTCCTGCTCCTTGTCGAAGCAGTCCCTCGTCCGTTCAGTACTTCTGGAAGCCTTCCATCTTAGATCAACACCTCATTTGAGTGTACAGAAGCGTGCCATCTGGGAAGTCGGGCAACATGGCTGATCCCCTCGCGGGAAGCTCGCCCGGCGCGCTGCCTGATGAGTTTGATATCATCGTGTGCGGCGGAGGGAGCGCGGGGTGTGTGGTGGCTGGTCGGTATGTCATCGATGCCTCCAAGACACAGGCTTCAGCCCTTGTCCATCAGTCCTTGCTGACATGGGTGGGCGCTCACCCCCTCTAGTCTCGCCAACCTGGACCACAACCTCAAGGTGCTCCTGATCGAGGCGGGCGAGAACAACCTCAACAACCCGTGGGTGTACCGCCCAGGCATCTTCCCGCGCAACATGAAGCTGGACTCCAAGACGGCCTCTTTCTACGAGGCCCGCCCGTCCAAATGGCTCGCCGGCCGCAAGGCCGTCGTTCCGGCCGCCCATATCCTCGGCGGCGGGTCTTCCATCAACTTTATGGTGTGTATGCCCCTATAATGCACGACAGCAGATGTGCAAAACGGCGACTGACGCTGTTTCACGCACAGATGTACACGCGCGCGTCGGCATCCGACTATGACGACTTCCAGGCCAAGGGGTGGACTACCAAGGAGCTCCTCCCGCTCATGAAGAAGAACGAGACATACCAGCGGGCCTGCCACAACGGCGACCTGCATGGCTCCGAGGGCCCCATCAAGGTGTCGTTTGGAAACTACACCTACCCCATCGCCTGGGACTTTCTGCGGGCGGCCGAGTCGCAGGGCATCCCGACGGTCGACGACCTGCAGGACCTGACGACGGCCCACGGCGCCGAGCACTGGCTCAAATGGATCAACCGCGATGTAAGTTGGAGGGCGATCGTCTTCGCATGTGTTGTGTCTATCCCTTGCTGACTGTACATGGGACGCGCCTTGTCAGACGGGCCGGCGCAGTGACAGCGCCCACGCATACGTGCACTCAACCAGGGCGGTGCACAACAACCTGTACCTGTGCTGCAACACCAAGATCGACAAGGTGATTATCGAAAACGGCCGCGCGGTGGGGGTACAGACCATGTAAGCCCACAGCGCTCCAACCAACCACGCGCTTCACAGGCCCGGGTAGCTTGCTAACGTCGCCACGCAGACCTACCAAGCCCCTGCACCCGAGACAGCTCAAGCCGCGCGTGTTCCGGGCGCGCAAGCAGATCGTCGTGTCATGTGGCACGCTGTCATCCCCTCTTGTGCTCCAGCGCTCGGGCATCGGCGATCCGGCCAAGCTTAAGGCGGCGGGCGTCGAGCCCAAGGTGGACCTGCCCGGCGTCGGGCTCAACTTCCAGGACCACTACCTGACCTTCTCGACGTACCGGGCCAAGGCCGGGACCGAGAGCTTCGACGACTTTGCGCGTGGCGACCCCGAGGTGCAGAAGCGCGTCTTCGACCAGTGGGAGCTCAAGGGCACCGGCCCGCTGTCCACCAACGGCATCGAGGCGGGCGTCAAGATCCGCCCCACGCGCGCCGAGCTCGACGAGTTCAAGAGCTGGCCGTGCCCCAGCTTCGTGCAGGGCTGGAACTCGTACTTCAAGGACAAGGCCGACAAGCCCGTGATGCACTACTCGGTCATCGCGGGCTGGTTCGGCGACCACATGCTGATGCCTCCGGGCAACTTCTTCACCATGTTCCACTTCCTCGAGTACCCCTTCTCGCGCGGGTCGACGCACATCACGTCGCCTGACCCCTACGCCACGCCCGACTTCGACACGGGCTTCATGAACGACGAGCGCGACATGGCGCCCATGGTGTGGGGCTACATCAAGTCGCGCGAGACGGCCCGCCGCATGGACGCCTACGCCGGCGAGGTGCAGAACATGCACCCCTTCTTCGCCTACGACTCGCCCGCCCGCGCCCACGACATGGACCTCGAGACGACGCAAAAGTACGCCCTGCCCGGCAACCTGACGGCGGGCTTGCAGCACGGCAGCTGGAGCAAGTTCCTGCCGCCCGCGGCCAAGCAACCCGACGTGCAGGTGCTCAACTCGCACAAGAAGGCCGTCTTTGACGAGTTGCAGTACTCGGCCGACGACATCAAGGCCATCGAGGAGTGGGTCAAGCGCCACGTCGAGAGCACCTGGCACAGCCTCGGCACCTGCTCCATGGCCCCGCGCGAGGGCAACAGCATCGTCAAGCACGGCGTCCTCGACGAGCGCCTCAACGTGCACGGCGTCAAGGGGCTCAAGGTCGCCGACCTGAGCATCTGCCCGGACAATGTGGGCTGCAACACGTGAGTTCCTTTTTTTTTCTTTTTTTTTTTTGAGCTACACACGCGCCAGCCATTATTATATGCAGATGGACTAACATTGCTTGCCACACAAAACAGGTACTCGACCGCGCTTCTCATTGGCGAAAAGGCCGCCATGCTCATCGCCGAAGACCTGGGCTACTCGGGCAAGGCGCTGGACATGAAGGTCCCCGAGTACAACGCCCCCGGCGAGATGAAGCTGGCCTGCCGCCTGTGAGCGGAGAGCGTGCGGATTTGGGACTTTGGATCCGGCGAAGCGCCGGCGAGGATATTTGCGCGAAATCGACAGTGAACATGACGTTATTTTGTCTCTTGTATTTCATCATCACGATCGACAGTTGCGGTGGCATGTCACCTCTAGTGCCGAAGTTAGCCCAGCTGAACACCTCACAACAGGAAAATCGGCAATGAGTTGGATCCACAGTTTGCGTGACTGCTGGGTATTTAAAAACGGACGTGACAAAAACGAGGCAATGCGAGGGTATTATAACGGTCAGTAGACGCTTGATGCTCGATGTCCGGCCGGAGAAACAGTGGGGAGAAATGCCGGTGTGGTGTGCATAATAAACGATGCACAAGACACAGTTATTCTCGCCAAATATCCCTCGGGGTCTAGGTACACGAGTACCGACATCCTACCAACAAACGAATGTATTATTCTATATCTTGATGTAGTACTTCATTATATCATGGTCTTACACACCGTGACTAACAAGGACATGCCCAAAACTAGGCCTTGAGGTATCGAATCCTAAAGGGCACCGTCTCGGCAACGTCGTAGTGCTCCAGCTTGGCCGGGTCGCCAAAGACGCGGAGCGAGCGGACGGCGATCTTGTACAGGCCCGGGGCGGCGTACTGGCCCGTGCTGAGGAGGCCGTCCCAGGTCTGGAACTGGCGGCCGCGCGCCTGGTAGCGCAAGGGGAAGCCGTCCATCTGGCCGACCGTCTCGAGGCCGCCCAGGGCCGTGGTGGTGGCGTTGGCGGCCGCCTTGCCGCCGCACACGTCGAGCGGCACCACGTGGGCCTCGATGAGGGGCGAGCCAAAGGCCAGGTTGATCGACACGTTCGGCTGGTCGACGCGCGGGGCGTAGAGCGTATTGTTGGACTGGCCGCGCGGCGGGAGGATGAAGGTCTTGTTGGCCGCCACGGCCGGGGCCGGGGGCGCGCCGGTGCCCGACGGGTCCGTGGCCGGGCGGAAGGCGGCCAGGTACGTGGTGTTGGGGTCCAGGGTGGCGTGCGAGTGGATGCTGCCGTAGACGCCCATGTAGGGGAGCGACAGGGCCGAGCCGTCGGAGCCGTTGACGAGCAGGTAGCCCGAGTAGACGGCCAGGCGCGCGGCGTCGAGGCCCGATGGGGGCGTGGCCGTCAGGCCGACGAGCTTGCGGCCACCGGCGGGGACGGTGAAGCTGGCCTCGTTGAAGACGATGCTCGCGTAGCTCTCGACGATCTCGTTAGGGAACACGGCCGGGAAGAGGGTGGTGGGGTCTTCAAACGTGTAGGCGGTGCCGGCGCCGCGGCTCGAGAGGGTGTAGGTGACGGCGGAGCTGCCAGTGTTGCTGATGGTGAAGTTCTGGACCGGCTGGAAGTGGTCCGTGTCGTTGAAGGTGATGCCGCTGGCGCTGAGGAGCGTGGTGGCGTAGGCGGCGTCGCTGGCCTGGATCAGACCGGCGCCCTGCTGGACGGCGGGGGCGAGGTAGGGCAGGGGGCCGCTGCCGCTGTTGAACATGGCGGGCTTGGCCGTCGAGGCGAGCAGGTTCTCGATGGTCTTGGGGTCCTTGGTGCCGCGGATGTTCATGATGAGCGCGTAAACGGCCGCCGTGAGCGGGGTGGCCATTGAGGTGCCCGAGAGGGAGGCGTAGGCGCCCTTGGCCAACGGGTAGGTCGACAGGATGTTGCCTCCGGGCGCGGCTACCTGCGGTTTGAGCTCGGCCTCGTACGTGGGGCCCCAGGTGGTAAAGTCGCTGGCGTAGCCGCCCGTCAAGTTGTTTGGCTGGGTGATCATGATCTTGGGGGACGAGTTGGGGTCCACCATGGCCAGCGTGACCTTTTTGCCCGCTTTCAGCGCCGCGACCCATGTGGCGCCCGTAGCCGCATCGACGGCAGCCGCGGCGAGAATTCCCGAGACGCTGCCGAGGTCGGTCGCGGGGGCGCCGGCGGGGACGTTGTTGTAGAAGACGATGTAGCGGGCGCCCTTGGCCACCGCGTTGGTCGCCTTTTGGGTGAAGGCACAGGTGCCGCGGCGTATGAGCACGATGTGCTTGCTCAGGTCGGGCGTGTCGGCCGGGAGGGAGTTGCAGGCGTTGGCAGGATCGGTAATGTCGAAGCCGACAGACCACAGAGGGAGGGTCACGCCACCCCAGGCCGCGGGGGCGCTGGGGACAAAGCCAAAGGTGGTGTCGGCGGCGCCTTCGATGGTGTACTTTGCGTTGGTGAAGAGCGTGGGCGTGAGGGTGTTGTCGAAGGACGCGACGGCCGTGACACGCTTGCCGTCAGCAGCGGTGCTAGCATAGAACAGGCCGGCGTCGCCCTCGTTGCCGGCGGCTACGATGCAAGGCACGCCCAGCTCGACAATCCTGGACACCACGACCGACCACGCGTTCTCGGACCAGCCCGACGGCCCTCCAATCGAGGCAGTGATCAGGTCCGCTCCGGACTCGTAGGCCATGGAGTAGGCCTTGATCAAGACGTCATCGTTGGCCCCGCCCTTGCAGCCAAAGACGCGGAACATGCCAAGCGTCACGTCCGCCGCCGCGCCGACGATGCCAAATGGGTTGTTGGTCTGGGCCGCGATGATGCCGGCGACGTCTGCAGCGGCAAAAAGTACACGTTAGCCTCCATCTAGTCATGACAGAGCCAGCCTGGCGACAAGAGATGTGAAGGTACTGACGTGTTCCGTGGCCGCCGCAGTCCATGGGGTCGGCGTCGGGCACGGGGAGATTGGTCGAATTGTAGTCGTCACCGACCAGGTCGTATCCGAACGAGACCAGGCAGCCCGGTCCGAAGCAGCCGCCCAGGGCCGGGTGCTTGTAGTCAATCTAGAACAGGGGGAGGGCCTCTCGTCAGCTCAAAGGCCACACGCAAGCCAGGGGCGTGGGCGACGCTACTCACTCCGCTGTCGATGACGGCGACCTTGATGCCCTTGCCGGTGACGCCCTTGTTCCTGAGCTGGTTGACCTGCGTCATGACGTGAGGCGAGAAGGTGTCGTTGCCGGCAGAGCCCTGGCGGCGCAACAGCTCGCGCGACTGGGCGTCGGGTAGGTTGCCGGCCCACTCGACCTTGTAGTCGGGGATGTTGTACCGCCTGACAGGCCACATGCGCTTGACAGCCGGCAGAGCGGCCACCTTCTCGGCCGTCTCTTCGACGTGGTCCTTGTCGTGGAAGACAATGGAAGCGCCCGTGAAGACCTTGGACCTGAGGTCCATCTTCACCTCGGCGTCGGGCGAAATGGTGTCTTTGAACTTGGCGAGATCCTAGGAACGGCCGCCAGGCAGTTGTCAGCATTGTGGGAGGTACGACACATTCGGGAGTAAGGAGAACAACTTACATCGTGGCCGTCCTCGTACTCGACAATGTAGGCGCCGTGAACGACAGGGGCGACAGCAAGACCCTCGGCGGGGTTGCTGCTGGACCTTGCGGCGCAAGCAGCCGCAAAAAGCGACAGCACAACAGTTCCGCGAACCATGTTCAGTTGGCGTGTCGGCAGCGCTGCCTGTCTTGTACAATAGATGACAAGGCGTGGAGCGGCAGCAAGGCAACAGAGAGCCTCCGGGGAGACCTATAACGAATGTCGGAGCCTGACAAGCGTTGCTGTCGCTGCTGAGCTCAAGAGAAGCAGACGGAGGACTCGGCGGGCGGCATAGTGGTATAAATACGCTAGCCAGACGAAGCACGGCTCGAGTCGGGAGTATAATGGCATGGCCAAGCCGGGTACGCGCATGAAGCACCTGCCAGAGGTTTGCCGAGGCGGAGAAGATGTCGACAGGCGGATATCGGAAATATCTACCTTCCATCTGAGGACTAGGTCAAGGCCAGGCCCCTGCATGCAATGTCCCCGATGCGGCGGTAGAGACCAGGTATGTGCCAACCATGGTGAAGGCGGGGGCAGGCATTGGTGCAAGGGACGAGGCCGCGGGGCGCAACTGTTGTTGTCTACTATGTACGTATAACTGTGAGTACCTAGGGAGCTCGACCAATAATATCATATACGTCGCAACCGTGGGAATAAGCAGCGGTTGGGATGCCCGGATGCTACCATTGCGATTCCTCGCCCATCCGTTCCCAAACAAGCACGAGTTGGCGGGAGGGCCAGCCCCGAGTCGAGTATTGGGAAGGGGGGCTCGCTTGACGGCTGGCGACTCTGCTCGCCTTGGTCTATTATCGCTGGGACAAATAGGCCTTGATGACGAAAAAGGGGTAGTAGCAGCAGACGATTGCTAACCTGGATGCCTAGTGCAAAACTCTCCTGTTTGGCGGTGGGTAATGTCCATCACGAGCTATTGCCAGGGCAGGGGACGTGCTGGTCGGCCGACTCAACCGAATCTGTCGAGTCCCGCCGTTGCAGCGAGTGAGACTCGGCTGGTGATCCATGGAGGAGCTGCAGCGTTATGGGGCCGCATGCGGGTAGAAGCGCAGGCGAAATGAGCCAGGCAGGGCTAGGTCCATGTCTACATTAGTTAGGTAAAAGAGTCGGGGCGATTGCGACTCGCGGGGAGAGAATGGGTTATCGAGGCGGGGTCGGTGAAAAGCACACGGCAGGCTGGCAGATGGGAGTTCAGGTCTTGAAGAGAAGCGACAGAAGGAGGGAGTCTAGCCATGTGGTCATTGTGAAGGTGCTAGATATGCATGTATGTCATCTCGTATGCCTCTTAGCTCTTGGGCGCTGATGGCTTCGGCAGTCGCGCTGCAGCCCCACACCCCAAGGCTTGGGGCCCCAGCTGGGGACGCCACAAAGCTTGATGATTCCAGGGGCATTTTGAGCTGTGTCGGACAAGAGCCAGGGAGGGCAGTGAACCTTTGGGTAGAGAGTCATGTGCCTGGGTTTGCCGTAAAAAGGAGGTCGGTTGAAGCAAAAGGATTGGACAATGTTGGGTCTCGGGAGATTGCGTCGACTGATTCAGCCGGAACAATTTGCATTTAGACTTTGATAAAGGAGGGGTTTGCGCGATAGGGACTGTCGGAGGTGATTGGTGCAGGGCAGATGCGCGACGGAATGTTGGAGCTGGAGGATTTTGATTGAGTGTGCTGGAGTAGGGAGACGGACCAATAATAATGGATCATATGGGGTAGAGCTGCCCCATATTTTATCATTGTCTTTCTTTGACCTACCCAACGCCCTCCGCGTCCAACAGACGACGGACGCTCACAGCAGTCAGCAAGCAACAACAGCACAGCGCCTCTTCTCCTACTCTAGCACAACGTACTTTTCCACCGGCACCGCTTCCATAAAGGCCGCCACGTGTATCCTCCCGACGGCCACGCGCTCGGCCACCTCCTCAAACTCCTCGCCTTCATTGTTAGACCTCTTCTTCTTCCTCTCAATCATCATGACGTTGAACAGCCCCCACGGTGTGCTGCCATCGTACAGCCGCGTGTCGAACTGCCCCGCCTCGTCGTGGTGCTCTTCGTCGGAGCCGCTCCCCCTCCTCCGCGCCCTCCGTCGGGGTACGCCGCCCACTAGCGACTCCATCGAGTAGACGCTGCCAACCTCGCCCAGCGGCGTCGCGTGTAGCAGCTCCTGCCCGACCCGCGGGTCCGCGCGCGTGCTGGCCCGTGACAGCACCACAAACTCGCGGCGCGCCCCCGCCGACGGCGTCCACGTCTTGTCCTGAGCCCCTGCCGCCCCCGCGTATATGTAGCCCGCGGCGAACCCGCGCTCGTTGAGGACGCGAACAACGTGCACCGGCTGCTGCTGCGGCTGATTTGCGTCGCCAGCAGTCGCCTGTAGTGACGTTCGGGTGCGGACTTTATTCTCCAGCGTGAAGCTCGCCGACAGCGTCCGGAAGTGCAGTCGGTGCGGGTGCTTTGGCGAAAAGTACTGATGGATTCTGCTGTCGCCATCGCCGGCTGGGGGATGTACCGGGTTCAGCCACCTGCCGCCAGTGCGGCCCCCGTCGCAGTTGTCATGCGTCTCGTTCTCGGTTTCCGCATCGTTATAAGTCCACCCGTCCTCCTCGTTCAGGTGCCACCTCCCGTCGCAGCCATGGTTGGGGTGCGGCTGCCCATTAAGCCGCAGGTCGGCCCCCGTGAACCACGCGTCGTGCACGTCCTCGACCACGGGCGCCATGTTACGCCACAGCAGCGGCGAGCCCGCCTCCTCCGACATGGGCATTACGCGCCCCTCGAGCCAGGGGTACGCCGCCTGCCCCGTCCAGCCCAGCCAGCTCCAGCTTGGGAAGATGGGCTCACCCGACACCGGGTCGAGGCGCCGCAGCGTGTTGCCCAGTGGGCACCACATGAGCGCCGCTCCGAGCTCTGTCTCGGGCAGCCCACCGGTGAAGGGACCCCTGAAGGCTGGTTCCAGGTGCCGTAGTAGGCCCATGACGGCGCGCTCGGCGTCCCTCGCGTCGCCGAGGTCGCGTGCCGTGTAGGTCGACACCACACGCGCGTACACTTCCATGTTGCTGGGCCGCGGGTCTAGGGCTGGTTTAAGCCCTAGGCTGCACGCAAACATGACCTGGTCCAGCATGTGTATCGGCTGTTCCTCCCCTGCAGGCCCCGCGCTGCCGCTATCGTCACCACCCCCTCCGCAACACGGGCCGTTCTCATCCTCGACCGTCTGTCCGTGCGGGCAGCACCAGGTGAGACACTCGTCCGTCACAAGCAGCCTTCTGGGCGACAGGACCTGCTCCTGTAGTGTCCATGCCCGCCTGTCCCACTGGCTCTGGCCGCACCCGGTCTCGTTGCCGCTGACGGTGCTGCCATCTTTCTCGCCCTTCTCGTCCCTTTCGTCCTCTTCACCCTTCCCCGTCACCGATGGCTCGGCAGTCCGTGCATTGGAATGGTGCGGGCTCGACATGACATTTCCAATCATGTGCCTGCCCACCATCTCGACGACCTGCCGCGTATGCTTTCGGGTTCCAGGCTCCACGCCAGGCAGTCCATGGGTGGCATCATCGCCGCAGCAGGCGCAAATAGTCAGTGCGCTGCCGCCGAAGACGCTGCCCATGCCCGCGATCTGCGCTTCAACGTCGGCCGGGTCGTCGTGCATGATGCAGAGCGCGTCGACCCAAAGGTGGCGCTCGCCGATCTCGCGTACCAGCTTAACGGCGTCCTGGATCGTGCGCGGCACCGTGTCCCAGAAGTGCAGCAGGCCCTTCGGATGCCGAAGCGCCCGCTCGCTGGACGCCCCGAGGAGCAGCATTGACCCCTGCGCAGCCGTCCCGCACACGTAGCTGAGCGCCACGTAACGGTCGTCTTCGTGCAGGTCGACGAGGCACATGTTTTGCACATCGATGACCCGCACGGGGTGCTGCTGCTGCTGCTTATTTGCAGTCATTGTTCTGCTGCTGCTGCTGCTGCTGCTACACTGCTCGCACGCCCGAAGTCGGTCGCGTACCCAGTCAAGGTCCATCTCGCTCGGGCTCCTTAGCAATCGGCCAGAACACCCGGTCGTGAAGGGAGGGGACTGCTGCTGCCCGTCGGCAGACTCGTCGGCGCCTGTGCCGATGGGACGGATGGCCATGCTGCGCCGTGGCCACGACCCCGCCCGGACGTCCTCGCTTGAGAAGAAGAACAGCTCGGGCGAGTTGCGCGCCGTGGGGAGCCGCACAGGACACAGATAGTATGTCTCGTCCAGGAGCCCGACCAAGGTGCTCATCTGTCGCGTCGACCGCTCCTCATCGCTTAGGTTGGCGGGTATGTCGGAGCTGGCGTCGTGGGCGATGATGCGAGCCACCAGCTGACATAGGCGGCAGTTTGTGCGCGTCATCAAGTTGAGCAGCGTGCCCATGGCGATAAAGTCGCGCGGCGGCGGCACGGCATCGCTCTCGCTCTGCCGGAACAGCGCGTCCACATCAATGTGCTGGCAATTACGGCACAGCGCCTGGAACGGCATCTCGAGCGCCCCGCTCTCGTCCTCGGTGCTGGCCGCGGGCTTCTTGATGTACCAGAACGGCACCGTGTGTCGCAAGGCCGGGTCAAACCGCCGGTTGAGGTTGACCTCGCTGGTGATGGCGCGGATGCTCCGCCCAGACACAGAGCTGTTGGCCGTGTGCCTGCTGCTGCTGCTGCTGCTGCTCCCCGTCAAAGACTCGGGCGTGTGGAGGCGCGTTCCGCTGCCGGCGCGACTGTGGTGCCTCGACGGCTTGGAGAAGGTGGACAGGCTTGACAGGGTGCCGAAGCTGCCGATGAATGGAATCATGGAATTGTTCGGCTCTGGCGTGAGCGCCGTGGGACTCTCGCACAGTCCGTCCTCGCTCTTTTCAGTCGCCCCCTCTCCCCCGACACTGTCCTTCCTCCCTACTGTGGCCCTAGAGGAAGAGATGGTCTGACAATCCTCTGGGATCGTCGCCTTGGGCGCGAAGGACCAGGGGCTACGGAAGATACTCCAGGCTCCTGACCCGATCGGGCTCACCTCGTCCACAAAGGCCTCGGCTGACTGTGGGTCCTCCTCTGGTGACACTACCATCTCCTGCTTCTCCTCCTCGTCCTCGATAGGGGCTGGGAGTCGCAACGGAGCAGTGGTGCCCCCGGTGCGGACGCGGATGACGGGTCGCGGCTGGAGGATGCTATCCGACACCTTTTTCGCCGCCAGGTTGACGTGGTGGGTCGTCAGGGCCGACAGGTTGGGGCAAGTCTGGGCACGCGTGATGCCCATCTTGATCTCGGGCTGCTGCACCGCTACGGCAGCGACGGCCGATGTCTCGGACACGCTCCTGTGGGCGATGGCCAGGAAAGCCGAGACGGCCAGTTGGTGCTGCGCCGCCAACGCAGCGGCCGACAGGTCCGGTATCGGGGATTCGGCGAACTCGACCGTGCGCGAACCCTTGGCCGACTTGCCGAAAGACAGCAGGTTGCGCAGCTTCCTGGTGGCCGGCGCCTTGGGGCCCCTCTGCGGAGGCATCGTTGGGGAGGGACGAGGGCGAAATGGGGGAAGACGAGTGGTGGGCACGATGACAGGGGCGTCGGGATGAGAGCGAGGAAGGTGACAAGATGTTCCGCAGAAACAACACTGACCCAGGTACCAGATTTCTAGACACGGCTCGACGACATGGACAGGTCAGGAAAGTACGGGTAGGAGATATTAGCATTAAATTACATCATTTGCTTGGCCGTGGACACTTTCCAGGACGGAGGAGAAACGAATGACTATCGAAAATCCGGGGAACCGTGGGTTTTCAACTCGTTGCTCACGGCTTGGGCCGGCTAAGAACACGCACACCCTACACAGACGTCCATACGCCTGGCAGACTGCCTCCCCGGGCGAGCTGTACGAGATGGACGCACCCATGTTTTGCGTCATGCCACACCCGAGCAAAATCCTCCTCCGCAGAGGCGGGGCAGTTGGAGACGAAAAAGTATCGGCGCGCCCCAGCCCGCCAAGAAAACGCAGCGCAACGACAGCACTTCCTCACCCTAGCGCCGTCTTAGCGGCAGGGCCGGTCGGCGCTTGGTGCGTGTTCGGATGCGAGCTAGCAGGGCATAAAACGGACCGTGGCCCCTGCTCGCTGCCCTCTTGGGGTTTGGAAGGGGGGGAGGGACAACAAAAGGAAAGCCTAAACTAAACGTTGGCTAGCTCGGCGCCCCCGCCCTTGTTCTCTCATGTAGGTCAACAGACGCGTGAGATCGATGCGCCAAGCTGCGAGAGGGCTAGCAGGGAAGGGGCGACGAAGGTGTGGCGTCTTCCAGATGGCTTGCTTGCCTGCTTGCTGCAGAAAAAAAAAACATCACACGTCCCCGAGGGGATACGTGAGCGCCAGAAAGATCGCGTGTCTGGTCCGAACGACGCCATCCCGCCAGCCTCAACCAAAGTCAGCCAAACTTCCTAGGGGAACCCGGGCCTTGGCCCACCTTGCTTCGTTTGCGCTCCGTAAAGTCTCACCATCGCTGCTCGATCGATCGCCTTCCGTCTGATGTCACGCTGGTGTTCGGCGTAGAGCTTGGCCTGGGTTGTTGCATGCACGGCCCCCTGCCCCCCCAAAACACCGGCCAGGCGTTTAACCCCATTTCTCTCTCTCTCTCTCTCTCTCTCTCTCTCTCTCTCTCTCTCTCTCTCTCCCGCTGCCCGTATACCGGGCACGCAATTTCGATAGGGTGCGTGCTGGCCGATAACTTGACATGGCGCTGGCCGGGGATATGGAACCCTGGTGGGAGACTCGCAGGTCCATGACATCAGCAAACTTGCCCGGCCTGCTGAGGCCTTGTTTTGTCGGCAATAAAGGAGATTCGCCTTCCAGGTCTGCGTTGTTTCTTTTATTATCATCTGTCCTAGTGCGCTATGAAACGAGATGTCATTCAGACAGATTCATCCGACGCTCTACCCAGCACTGTGGCGACTCTCCGGGATGTGCCCATTTCCCCCGACGAGCCCCATGTCCTCTCCGGACCAGGGTGGTCCCTCCCCGGTCCGAGAGACGGGATGATGGAAGGATTCGATCAGCAATCACGACAAACCGAAAGCCTGAAGCCAAGAGGATCCGTTTGCAGGGACAGGCCTTGTCGGACCTCGCGCTATTGCAACATCAGGTGGCCAGCCCCGACAGATGTCTGGGGACCTGCCACGCGAAGGTGCTGCGTGGGACCTCGAGGCAAGGAAGTCACGCTCTGGCGGCCAGTTGTGGACGCAGGTGGTGATGGTTATTCCCAGCTAGCTCCATGCACGGCTGCTGTCAGTTGCCCTCGACCCTGTCCAGCGCCTTCTCAGTCCACTCCCACAGCCGCGCCGCCTGCCCCGGGTCGCTCGCGACCTTGTCCTTGGCGACCAGGTGGCTGGCCAGCTGGCCGACGGGCATGTAGAAGGCGCCGCTGACCATGTCGGCCCTCTTGCCCGCGGCCGCGGCCCACAGCGAGTTGTGGCTGCCCTGCTCGGGCGTCAGGGTCGGGATGCGCAGCAGCGCCGTGCTCGTGGCCACCATGGCCCGGTCCCAGAACCCCAGGCCGCCGATCAGCCCCGTCGACACCACGCCGGGCTGCAGCGCGACCGTCAAGATGGCCGGGTAGCGGCGCGCCAGCTCGGCAGCGTAAAGAAGGTTGGCGAACTTGCTTTGGCTGGTGGGCACAAGGCCCTGGTCAGCACTTCTTGTCATTTGGCACCTCCCCGTCCCAAGACCACACGGAGACCGTACCCATAAGCCTGCCAGCGCCCCACGAAGCCGCTGTATCCGCTCCCGAGGCGCCCGTACGTGATGCCGTTGCTCGGGTGGCCCCGCCAGGCGGTCGAGGTGAGCACGACGACGCGCACGTCGGCCCCCGGCAGCCGCGCCGTGGCCTCGAGCACGGGCAGCAGGTGGCGCAGCAGCATGGCGTGGCCGAGGTGGTTGGTGGCCATGTGGATCTCGTGCCCGTCGGCGCTGACGGCCGGCGGCACGGCCATGATGCCGGCGTTGCAGATCATCACGTCGAGCCGCGTGAGACGGCCGGCGAGAGCGCGCGCGGCGTCCCCACATGCCGCCAGCGAGGCGAGATCTGCTGGTACAAAAGTCGTCTGCACCGCCGGGGCGAGTTTGCGCACCTCGGCGGTGAGGCCGTCCGCGGACGAGGCGCTGCGGCCTGTGAAGTATATGTGTGCAGGCTGATGCTTGGCTAGCCCCAGGATTGTGGTGCGCCCAATGCCGGCGGTGCCTGGATGGTGTTTTTTTTAGCATGTGGAGTGAGGCGAAGGAGGGGGAACGGTGCGGACCTCCGGTAACAAGGATTACTTTTCCCTGCAGCGAGGGCATCTGCGTGTCTGGATCGAAGCCTGTCATGTTGTCTTTTGCGGATGGGGGCTGGGGTCTTTGGTGGTTAGGGGCCGGTTCAGGGGCTCAGGGCTGTGAGTGGTAAGGCGGGCTCGATACTGAGTTGATGGACGAAGCAATTAAACTCGAACGGCCTGACGGCCTTTTATACAGTCCTTCCCTACAATCTGTTTCGGCATTCTCGGAAGAATCGTGATTATGGATCGGAACGACTTCGGGCACATGGCGGCCAAGGGCGTCGTCGCGTTCCAAGCCACCAAGGAGCCGGGACGACATCTCAGTAACTATTCCCGATTAGGCCCTGCGACCATAAGCCATTTGCATGCCTGGTGCTGCAAGGCCGCTGGATCCGGCGCTAAGCCTGTTCAAGATGGCTTGGCATAAGCCAGCCAACCCAAAACGGGTTGACGAGGATAAGCCAGGTGCATAAGATCAAGACAATGGCATTTCCCTTTCAAGCTGCCGGTCAGCCTTCGACTCTCCTCACCTAGTTTGACAAGAGTCTGGCTATCGATCCACACATATCCCAAACTCCAACGAAGGTCTCACATGGACTCGACACGAGTTCTGCACCCGCCGATGGGTCAGCTGCCAGAGGTGGGAGCCTGCTGGCCCTGTGGATGCGAGCAGCGCCGAGGTTGCCGCGTGCTAACGACTTGTCCAGATGCGCGAAGCTGACGACGACTGGTCCGGACTCGGGAACAGGGCCGAGAGGAAGAGGCGCCAGAACAGACTGAATCAGAGAGCATGGAGTGGGTGCCTCCCGATGCAGAAACATTTGGTCGCTTTGCTTACACGACCCATGACCAGGGAGCCGCCAGGCTGTCAAGTCGCGGACAGCGAGCGCGGATGCAGCGAGTCGAGGCTACACCTTTGTCTTGGAGGCCTTTGGCCCTGAAGCTTCTAGGCCTTTGGGTCACAGCAGTTGTCAGAGTGTAGCAGCCGACACGGAGGTTGACGTTGACGTTGACGTTGACCAGGACCAGCCATCCACCGCTGTCGCCACCACCACACACACCACAAAAGCAAAGACACAGCTGATCCCACCACTCCTCCGCTACATGGGCGCCGCCGGCAGCCCCTTCCACGCATCAAAACAGGGCGCCAGCTTCCACATCACATTTCCCCTCTCGCCAGACCACCACCTAATCACCCTGGTGCAGTACAACGTGCTGCGGGCCACCATGACCAACATCAGCATCTTGCGCCTGCAGGACATGATGCCACCAACCTGCGACGGCGGCATCGCCCTGCTCGTCACCAGACATGACCCCACGTGCGCCCCGCCGCCCGAAGACCTGGTGCCCACGGCTCTGCAGAGGACGGTGCCGCACCCGGGCTGGATGGACTTGGCGCCCGACGGGCGGATGCGCGACAACCTGATCCGGGCGGCGGCGCATGATCTCGACGCCGACGCGCTGTGCGACGACCTCTGCGGCGGCCTGTACGACGGCTTCGACGACTGCGAGGCGCGCGGCATGCTCGTCTGGGCGGACCCCTGGCGCGTCGAGTCGTGGGAGGTGACCGAGGGCTTTGCGCGCAAGTGGGGGTTTCTGCTGAGGGGATGCCGGGCCACCATGCGCGCCACGGACCGGTGGCGCGCCTCGCGGGGGGAGGAGCCGATGGACTGGTCTGTGGTGGAGGAAGCCTGATGTTGTGGACGGTAGAAATTACATTACGTATATAGGCAAATTACATTACGGACCTTGTTCAAACAATCTTGGAGGGGGCCAACAACATCAAGTCATCATCATCGTCATCATCACACATGCTCATGCTTACACCTTCTCGTCCCACTTCTCCCCGCTCCGGTGCCTCCTGACGGCCTTGGCGCCAACCACCAGCGCCGCCCCCAGCAGCATCAGACAGCCCGAGTAAACCTGGGCGCCCTCGTACCGCCCACCCATGGCGGATATGACGGCGCCGGCGACGGGCGGGCCCACGACGGTGTTGAGCGAGTTGATGGCCATGCTCAGCCCCATGGCGGAGCCGGCGGTGCGCAGGTCGCGGGCGAGCGACATGCAGGCGCTGGCGTGCAGGCAGGTGACGCCGCCGACGGCGAGCCCGAAGAGCGCCGTCCAGGCGTGCAGGCCGGCCGGGCCGGACACGCGCGTCCAGCACAGCGCCACGACCCCGCCGGCCACCTGCGCCGGCACCATGAGGTTGACGGGGCCTGCGCGGTCGGCGAAGCGCGTGGGCAGCAGCCGCCCGAGCAGGTTGGCGCCCGAGAAGACGAGCAGCAGGTTGAGCGAGTCCGGGTACGACAGCGGCGGGCGCAGTTGCGTGCGCCCGAACTGGGGGAGGTAGAAGAGCGCGACGTAGAGACCGGCTTGTGCCTGTTTGGTCGGTAAGTCAGCTCAGCTTTGGTGCATTGGAATGTGTGACGAGACGGCGCGACCTACAGTCATGACGCCAAAGCTGAACAGCGTAAAGTCCATTTTCCTCAGAATGCTCAGGTCCACAAACGAGCCCGATATTTGGGTTTGGATCCTCGAGCGCATAACCACGTTGGCAAACAGAAACAGCACCAGCTGCATCAGCGCGAGGATTCGCATGGTCCACCCGAACCCCAGCGCCGGGAGCAGCTGGCGCGCCACGGCTGGGTACATGAGACCCCCGGTGATGTTGCCGCAGGACGCGATGCCCAGCGCCAGCGCCCTCTTGGACGAAAAGTACGTGGCGAGAACCGAGAATGAAGGGCACGCTCTGCCGCAGTGTAAGCGATTAGCATTGTCGGTAGGGGTAATGGCAGGGGAAGAAGAAAAAAAAGGGAAAAAAAAGAAAAAAAAGGAAAAAAAGACCTACATCAACCCGCCGCCAATGCCAAACAGCAGCCCCTGCGTCAGCATCAACTGCCAGTACCGCGTGCTAAACGACGCGGCCACCAAGGCCAGTGTGCACAGCGACGACCCGGTGGCCATGATGAGGCGGAAGTGGCCGGCGTCGCTCAGGCGGCCCGAGAAGACGGCGAGCAGGTTGCCGAGCACGATGGGCATGGCGCCGATCCACGAGATCTGCGACGGCGGCACGCCTAGCGAGTCTGCGTAGTAGGCCTGGAAGATGCCGAACGAGAGGGTCAGGCCCCAAACGTTGGCCGTCACCAGGTGCGTGCAGATGCCTGTTTTGTGTCAGCTGCTGTCTTGGAGGGGAATTGAAGGGTGTGTTGCAAGTTACACATGAGCCATGCCCGGAGACCGCCGTCTGGGGGCGGGGCTGTTTCCTGACTGTCGAGAGTGGGCGACCGGGCCAGGTCGCGGGTCTCGTGAGTGGCAGTTCTGGGCTGCGCCTTGGACTCTGGGTCGGAGGGTGGAGGGGAAAGCTGCATTGTGTAGGCTGTGTAGCCGTGGCTCCTCGCGAGAGCACAAGGGGCTTTTGGGAGAGGAGGCAATATGATACGTCACGCCAGCAAAATCACCGACGAGATAGCAAGGCAGGCCTAACTAGTAGCAGTGCGCCATGTATTGAGATGGTCGAAACGATGATGCTATTCAGGGGGAAGGCAAGATGTAGCGGCGAGATGGGGAGTAGGTAGGTAGTGGGGAGAGCCGGAGGTCGGGCCACGGCCGGAGACCAAGTGGGTCCAGACCCCCGTCATAGACGCCCCCGGTGGCCGATAATCGGGGCGCCGTGGCCTGGCCAACCGCCAAAGGGCGCGCCTAGACCAGCCGACCCAAGCCTGCTGCATTCTGTGACCTGTCACTGCCTGCTTTGGGTCCATGCAGGTACCGGCGGGCTGTCCGTCGGGCCGGCGACCGGCCACCGGCTTTGTTGGCTTGGTGGCGCGTCAGGGGTGCTCGGTCCAAACAGTGTCTTCCATGGAGGAATCGACTCTTGCATGTTCTGGCCCCCAGATAAGAGGCTTAAAATCGTGCGGGCGACTTAGTAAGTGTCACAGCTCCTGTCCGACGGTGGAACCGCGTCTTGTTTACGCGTCCGATGCCGGACCTTGCTCAGAGCTGCCGTGACCGTCACCACTGCACCCTTTTCTGTGTGTTGCCTGCTCCGGCTTAGCCCGCCTTCGGACTATCCCCAGACTGCCTTCGAATGTAGGCAAAACACTAACGGTTTGCGGCGGGGATTAGATGCTTCACAAGAAAGGCAGGCACGCCCTTCACAAAAGAAATGGCAATTACCATTAGGAGTAGGAAGAGGGAAACTTAAGGCATTTACTAGGAATGGTTTTACTCAATCTTTAGTACCTGTAACTGTCATCTTTTTTGTGGTGGGCGGGCAGGCCTTTTCGTGGCTGGTGTGCGGCTGCTGGCCTCTCATCACACGTGAACCACTTCCAAACAGGCGAGGACAATGCCACGGAACGGAACTTGTTATTACAATTACTGTATCTACTCAGCGTGACCCAACAGTCTGAGCTGTTCCTCCTCGCCGAGTGCGAGTAGGCGAACCATGGCCGCCGCCGCCGCTGCTGCTGCTGTTGTTATTGTTGGCACCTCGTCTCAACACTCAGGTTTCTGTCGCTTCGAGACCGGGGTGCCTTTCGAAAGTCCTCCACCTGGCCGTGTTTTTTTTTCCTAGGCACAAGGGTCGACAAGGCCAGCCTTCCGCCTCGCACGCCGTTTTGCGGTAGATGAGGGGGGTTTTCAGTCTCGACTCAGGATCCGTGCAGCCTCGGCCAGGTGATGGTGCGCAAGGCTGCCGTCGTCTCGGTAGTACCACTTTTGGGGCGCAAAACCGATATGTAGGATCTGCAGCCTCTCGAGTTCCGTCTCCAGGAGCTGCAGCACAGACCGGTCAGGCCCGTCGGCCGCGCGAAGGGCACCCCGGTCGGTGGTGGCTTGGGCCAGGACCAGGACGCACTCCGAGGACACTAGGAAGTCAAAGTTCGCCGGCCTTCGTACCCCAGCCAGCCAGCCGAGGTGGGTGTGCAGCGGGGTTTCGCCGCGGGCGTTGCGCGCCGCAGGGTCGGCTCCGGCGGCTAAAAGGATCTTCACACACTCCAGAGCCTCGGGTAGGTCGGGCGGGATGCAGTGCACTATCGGGGCGCGGCAGTTTGCGTCAGTAGATCATCATGGGCCGTCCACAAACAGCAGGTATATAGGGATGTCTCACGAGCTGTGCTCCCCGCCACGATCCGCTCGACGGGCGACGCCTCCCAGCGGCAGTTTACGTCGGCACCCGCGTTCAGAAGAAGCCTGAGTGTGCGCGACGTCCTACCGGGAATATGGGGGCCAGTGCAGGCCATCAGCAGTGGAGTCACTCCAGGGCCGGCTGGCCATGCGGCGCCGTGGTCGACATGGGCGCCTGCCTTCAACAAAAGCTCAACAATGTCGTGGCTAGGGCCCATCAGCTCAAAGCCACCGCAGGCTGCGTGCAGGGCTGTAATCCCATAGCAGGCGGGGCCGCCACAGTGGTTGACGTCGGCTCCCGCGTCTAGAAGCAGCCGGACCACCGGAGCCGACCATGGGCCGCATCGACCACAAGCCGCAATCAGTGCCGTGGTTCCATTGCAGTCCGCCCCGCTGCGGGCTTCTATGTTGGCGCCCGCCTTCAGTAGGGCTCCGACAGGCATTGTGCCGCGATCGGTAGCAGCTGCTATCATCAAAGGAGTAAACATTTTACAGCGCTCACAAGGGGTACTCTTGCGCTCAATGTCTGCGCCACCATCGACAAGTGCTTCAAGCAAACCGCCATGATATTGTTTGCGCAAAACAGCTCGGGACAGCGGCGTGTAATCCTTCGAGTGGTCCGGATTGACTGTGCGGTGGTTGGGATCGGCACCTGCTTCGAGAAGTAACTTGACGACCGAGGCAGCGTGCCATCTACTGTCGATTGTGCGCCCGCTCATCGTAAACCGGGGTGTTGTGCTAAGGGCGGATAGAGGCGAAGTTCCGACCGAGTCCGCCGTGTCCACGGCAGACGCCCCCGCGTCAAGGAGTAGCCTAACGACCTTGTATGTTGGGTGCATTTTGCAGACCGCGACTAGTAGGGTCCAGTCCATGGGCTTGAGAACTCGGTTGACGTCGAAGCCGTGGTTGAGGAGATCTTGGATGGCGCTCGCATTCCCATAACGCGCAGCTCTGAGGAATACGGCGTACCTTCCGGGCACGCCGTTGATGCTCTTTCCAGGTCCAAGGTCGTGCTGCAGCCGTGAGAAAAGATAGCTCCACATCCGGCCCAAGGGCTCGTCGTAGCTGCGGTAATCAGCTGCCCACTTCAAGCCCCCAAGGCCATGATCAAGATCACGGTATCCCAGCTCCTCCACCCCGAACTCGAGGGCAGTGATCGACCGTTTCCTAACGGCTGCGCGGCAGAAATGGCCGAGGTTCCCTCCCGGGACTTTACCGCCACGGCCCATCAAGTGCTTTACGAGCGGGGCCGAGAATGTTTCCATCGCCATCTCCATCAGCTTCGGCGCATTGACGTCTAGGCCGTGGTCTAGCAGCATGTCGATCGTCTTGAAATGCCTCTCCTTGACTTGTTGGACCCCCAGGCCAGCCTCCTGTAACCGCAACAGCACCAGATCCAGCGCTGTGCCGGTCTCGGGCCACGATATGTGGGTGGTCCGTTCACCCGCAGCCGAACGCCAGGTAGCCGTGACATTTGCTCCGGAGTCGAGCAGGAGCTGGAGCGCACTGGTATCCTTAGTCAAGGCTGCTAGGTGGATGGGTGTTAAGTTGAGGAACACTTTGCGTGTTCCATGCTCAAGGTGCACAAAGCGGCCTTCGGCTTCGACATCGGCACCCATGGCAATATAAAGCACCACTCTGCTTACTTGCCCTCTGCGCACAGCGGCATGCAGCTGAGTCTCGACCGCGTCCAGATTGGGACTCGTGTAGAACCTATTGATGTCGTCTCGGCTATCAATACTGATGTCAGCGTCCCGCGGAATGGCGCCGAATAGTTGCCACATATCTGTGTCCTTTAAGTCCTGGCCTAGCTAGCCAGCGGGATGTTTTGGGTGCCGCGAAAAGAATTGCGTTGTGGGAGGTGCACAGGCGGTTTAAGTAGTCTGTGGGTTCACCTTAGACGCGGCACACAAATCGGGACACGTGACGCACAAGTCGTGCAAGGTGACGCGCACTGGAAGGGACGGTGACGCGCATCCAATTCACCTTACTATTCCTATTTTCTGCGTTGTTACTTCACCAAAGCGACCGCCATGAAGCGCTAATTTGATGACCGCACCAACAACCAAGGTAGGTACCTAATTACCAACGAGCATATCATTGCGTCTAATTGTTGAGGGATTTGGAATGCCGAAGATGGAGGTTGATGGATGGAAAAATTGATCAAAGCATACCACCTAACATCGCTCCTCACTTGGGAACAAATACATAGCACAACGAACGAGTATGTTACGTCCTCTATCATGATTTATTAAAGCGTATTCGTGATGGGCATGGCTATGGAAAGGTCGTAAACCACCGCGGCGGCTGGGGTCGCTGGGTGGGGGCAAGAAGCTTAAGCGCAGAGGGTGGCGGTGACGTCGACGGGCTCGGGGCAGCCAAAGACCTTCTTGTGCACGGGGGTGCTGTAGCAGTCGGCCTGGTTGGCGGCGCAGTCGAACTGCTCGCAGCCGTCGCCAGGGCTGAGGATGTTGCGGTTACCGGAGAAGGGGTTGCCCCACTGGGTGCTGAACTCGTAGTAGGCGTAGTTCGGGTTCTTGGACGACGAGTAGCCGAAGAACAGCGGGTCCGAAAGGGCCCTGGTCTTGGCGATCTTGACGGTCTGCAAGGGGGAAAATGCGGGGGATGGTCAGCTTGTTTTCTTTTTCTTGGGGGGCTTGGGTATCATCGTTGCATCATCATGGACGATGAGGGGGGGAACGTACCGAGCCCGCGGCGATCATGTCCTCGCTCCAGGTCTCGCCCTTCCTCAGGGCCGTCTGGGCGCCCTGGCCTCCGCTGTACGGGAACGACTGCACGAAGACGGTGGCGTCGCAGTTGTTCTTGACGATGGCCTTTCCGCAAGACCCGACCGCCACGAGGGAGGCGGCGGCAGCGATGACGGAGAACTTCATGGTTGCGGTTTTAGGGATTGTTGATATTATTGTTGGTATTATTGTTGTAAGGCGAGGGATGAAGAGCGAGTGTTGTGTTGGGCTGCTGCTGCTGCTGAGGAAAGGGTTTTTTTTTCTGACAAGATGGCGAGGGACAGTCTGGACATTTATATCCCATCCCCAGCAGTGCTCGCGGCGCAACGTTGCCGTCACGAGAAGAGCGGTGGGATGAGTGGTTCATCGCGCGATGCTTGCTGTCCCCTTACACAGGGGGGATGCACAGTACCTCCTGCCGCATGAGGCCGAACCTCACCGCAAATTGCATCACAACCATGTCGGACATGCAACCCAAGCGTTGCCTTGTTGTGCCGTGCTGTGCTGAGTGGCGGGATTCCCCACGCGGCAAGGCACCAGGCTGGTGTGCTTCTAGGAGGTGGGGCTAAGAAGCAGCACAGGAAGGATCTGGTGGAGGACACACGCTGTGGGCCGACGTGCCTTGTTTGCTGGCGACCGCCGCTCTCGCCGTCTTTACGTAGCCAAAACCTCGTATTCTCCACAGCACGTGGGCCAGCAAAAAACCGGGGAGCCGCGGCCGGGGATCGCTTCTACCCGTCGAGGGGCCAATCAGGTCCTTGTCTGCAACACGAGATTGGACCGTTGCCCTTCCGTCATGCACCCATCCATCCATCATTCATGCCTTTACTGGCGATGCCATCTCCCACACCGCCGGCAATCCGCGGCCGGGGAGGGCACTGGCAGGAGCGCATACTACACAATAAGCCAGAAAGGGGAAGGGAAGGGACATGGTATCGAGATTCTCGTATTCAGGAACCCGTAAAGAAACAAAAACGGGTTCCTGAGCCGAGTGCCGGGCCAACCCCGCACCGTTTTTGGACAGGGCCAGCAGCTTCCGGGTTGGATCTGCGGAGCTGCACCATGACATGCGTCGCCTCGGCGGCCTTTTACGCTGCCTTTTTTTCCTTTTTTTTCTTTTTTTTTTTCTCACATTGGCCCGGAGTGAGGTTGCTCGATTGCGTGGACTTTTTTTTTTCTCTCCAACCTTTGTGCCGCGACTCGTGCCACAGCAGCTGCCCCATTGCACAACATTCGGATATTAACCTTGTCCCAAAATAGCAGGCAACAAAAATGCTTGTTTGGCGTCGCTCAAGGCCGAACAAGCCTTTGCTCACCTTGGACTTGTCAAACACGAAGATGACTGCTGGAACCTACCTGCCTTTGTGGGCCGAGTCCAGCATTTGATCTGGCCGTCGAGGTGCACGGCGAGTCAGAAAGCCCAGTTGACGCAACAAGGCAACCCCGTGTACCGTGGATCGTAGACTCCCCTGCGCCAACTTGCCCACCGCCTCTTCTATGGCTTGTATTAGAGCGCACAAGCCGTGGCTCTGCTTGCAACATGCAACTTGCGAGGAGAGCACAAACCGCACCGCGTGGCACTGGAATCAGTAGGCTCTGGGAGGCGCTAGATGCAGCTGCGAATCCAAGGCAAAAAAAAAACTGTGTACTGAGTGCCAGGTGCTCGCCTTGCCTGCCAGTCATCTCTGCCATCTCTGCCGAGGTTGCCTGATTTTGCTGGTGGCTGGAGCTACGAGCCAGCGAGCTCCATGGCTGAACGGATGTGGGGCCATGCATGGACCTGGCTGGGACGTCAGTGGTAGTAAGCGGCTCGGTTGTAAGTTCCGTTGTAAGTTCTCCCAACAACCCACTATGATTCAATCACAGACACCAACAGAACCCACCAACGTCAATCCAAGTTCAAACCGACACCCTCCATAAGATTCTCCCCATTCATTATGCCCAAAGCACGGCGCCGAGTATGTCGTGCCAGAATTTCCTGTCGGGGAGACGCGCTCAGCCAGGCCTGCGGGTGGGGCGGCTACTTGCAATCCCATCGAAATCACCACGCGGTATGGTCGCCTCGAGCCGTAGCTCCACCCACCTTGTTCCAGATCATGTTGGACCGGCACTCTGAACGACAAACTGCCCCCAACATGGCCCTAATTGGCGACTTGGGCCATGTTGCTCACGACCGACTGTCGGACAGTCCGTGTTCCTAGACAGGACTCACCACGCGTCGACAGCAACCTCATCATACTGGGCCGTGCTCTCTTCTCGCGCATCCGCCCCAGGAGGCTGCCGCCGTGCGCGCGCGTTCGGCGGCCTTTCCACAAATTCACGTCCGGGCAGTGTGACCACATCGGCGCACACCTCGCCGGCGTCGAGTGGCTCGGCAATCAAGTCGCAGCAATTTCGAGGCCGGAGCCGGACCGGCGTATCCCAACTTCACCTTCCATAGCCCGACTCTGGACCTGAGCAGCGTCGGCAAGGAACACAACTATCGGCCCTTCGGTCTTGTCGGGCTTCGCCACCGGCCTCAACACTTCCGAGTCCTGTAGGAGCCAGTGACTGCCTCTTGCGATGGAAGCCCCGGCGTTGGTTGTCGGCGCGGGGCCGCCGGCAAAACCCCGCATCGGACACTTGTCTTGGCACACCAGAACCTCCACCGAGACGCCGATAAGGTGGAAACCTTGCGGAGTCCATGGGACACAGGTTGAGAAATACGATCAGAAATGATGCAAGACTCGGCGGCGTTGGCAGCCCAGTCAGCTATGCCCAAACCTCTCTTTCCCGGCCGGGTGTGAGGGGTTTCTTCTCGCCCTTTCCCCCTTCCTCTTCGCGGGCCGCTCGTGTTCTCGCATCTTGGGTCCGACACCTGCAATTTATAGTGCCCACCATGATCGGTAGCATCAAGACAGTTGCCGTCGCCATAGGGCTGGCCCAGATTTCCAGAGCCCAGTCTGTGAGTCAGCCAGACGATGCCTATTTCGACAAACTTGAACGCTTTTGGAGCTATGGCAGATCGCCTCCGGTCTATCCGTCCCGCAAGTTTATCCTTTCTTGCTGCCTTGTCTCCGTCATCGAAGCTAACAGGCCAAGCAGCTCTCAGTTCTGGTCTGGGTGATTGGCAAGATGCCTACAGCAAGGCCAGAGAGCTGGTCAGTCAGATGACTTTCGACGAGAAGGAGAACGTAACGACCGGCTACCAGCACTCGATGAACGGCTGTGTCGGCAAGGGCGGTAGCGTCCCAAGACTCGGCTTCCCTGGCTTCTGCATGAGCAATGCCGGCAACGGTGTCGGCGGCACCGAAGGCGTGAATGCCTATCCGGCCGCCCTGCACGTCGGCGCCTCGTGGAACAGGCAGTTGGCCTACGACAGGGCACTACATATGGGCCGGGAGTTCAAGGCCAAGGGTGCTAACGTTGCCCTCGGACCAGCCGTTGGGCCCCTGGGGCGAGTCCCCAAGGCGGGTAGGAATTGGGAGGCGCCTAGCAACGACCCGTTCCTTACGGGAGCCCTGACCTTCGAGACGACGCGAGGCTTGCAGGAGTCGGTGATCGCCTGTCTTAAGCACATAGTGGGCAACGAGCAGGAGACAAGCCGCAAGCCGCCGCGATACCTCGGCCACAACCACAATCAGTCCGTGTCGTCCAACATTGACGACAAGACCATGCACGAGCTGTACCTCTGGCCGTTTGCAGATGCGGTAAGGGCTGGTGTCGGGTCAGTCATGTGCGCCTACCAGCGCACCAATAACAGCGACTCGTGTCAGAACAGCAAGGTGCTCAATGGCCTGCTCAAGACCGAGCTGGCGTTCCAGGGCTTTGTCGTTTCGGACTGGTTCGCGCACCAATCTGGCCTTGCCAGCGCTCTCGCCGGCCTGGATGTGGTGATGCCCGTCGCGCCTCTGTGGTCCAAGGGGAACCTGACAATCATGGTTAACAATGGCTCGCTACCGCTCGAACGCCTTGATGACATGGTTGTCAGGGCCATTGCGCCCTGGTACAAGTTTGGAAACCCAGAAATGAAGCACGTCGGTCATGGCCTGCCCGCCAATCTTGCCGCGCCGCACACCTTTGTCAACGCGCGTAACAAGTCGTCCAGGAGCACCATCTTCCAAGGCGCCGTGGAGGGCCACGTTTTGGTCAAGAACGTCAATAACGTGCTGCCACTCAGGGATCCCGGCTTCATTTCCGTATTTGGTTACGACGCGGTAGCGCAGAAGCTCAACACACGCGAGCGTGCAGGCTTTTCGCTGTGGGGGCGCGGCATGGCAGGCGCTCATCAACACGTCAACGGAACCGAGCTTACCATGGATATGTATGACTGGTTCTTCGCCTCCAGTGTCGAACAGACCGAAACGGGACCTGAGGTCGCCCTAAACGGCACCCTCATCACAGGCGGAGGCTCGGGCGCGGCAGTGGGGGCTTACATCGACGCTCCGCTGGACGCGCTGCAGAGGCAGGCCTACGAAGACGACACCTTCATCGCATGGGACGTGCAGAGCGGCACGCCCGACGTCAATCCCGCCAGTGACGCGTGTCTCGTCTTTATCAACGCGCAGGCTACCGAGGGGTGGGATCGGAAGAACCTGACGGACGCCTACTCTGACCGGCTGGTCGAGGCAGTGGCGGATCAGTGCGCCAATACCATGGTGGTGGTGCACGCGGCGGGCATTCGGCTGGTGGATGCCTGGTTTGACCATCCCAACGTCACTGCTGTAATTCTCGGTCATCTCCCCGGGCAGGACAGCGGACGCGCGCTGGTGGAGGTGCTGTACGGGCGGCAGTCACCTTCGGGCCGAATGCCCTACACGGTGGCCAAGCAGGAGAAGGATTACGGCAGCATGCTGGACCCTGACTTCCCCAGCGACGACACGCCCTACTACCCCCAGTCCAACTTCACCGAGGGGGTGTACATCGACTATAAGCACTTCCTGAAGCATAATATCACACCGCGGTTCGAGTTCGGCTTCGGCCTTACTTACTCGTCGTTCGAATACTCGAACCTGAGCGTCACCGTCGACGCCAAAGCCTCGGAGTCCCTGTTGCCCCCAAGGCCGGGCGACATCTCGCCGGGCGGCCTTGACTCGCTCTGGGACGAGGTGGCGCTGGTGACGTGCACAGTGACCAACGCGGGGAACGTGACGGCCGCTGAGGTAGCGCAGCTGTACCTTGGCATCCCAGGCGGTCCGGCAAGGGTGTTGCGCGGGTTTGACAAGCAGCTGCTGGATCCGGGTCGCAGCGCCGTCTTCACGTTTCCGCTGACCAGGCGCGACGTCAGCACGTGGGACGTCGTGCGGCAGGGCTGGGTCTTGCAGCGGGGGCGCTATGGCGTTTTTGTGGGAAGGAGTGTGCTCGACGTTCCGCTCGTGACCACGTTTGAGATTTGAGAAATGCTTCTTTCTTTCACGTCGCTGCTCGACGCGAGGGGATAACATCAGCACTACGATACCACCTTCCAGAACGAATAGACGCGTCATGACAAGAATCCACCCGACAGCTTGTGTTCCTGGCTTGCGAGATAGGAAAGCCCCGCTGCGGATTCGTCATAGCGAGCCTCCGTCGACGAAAGCCGAGGGATGGCCAAACCTTCGGATGGCATGTGCCCGTTTATTGGCAGACGTCAGATGGTGCTCCTCTAGAGCGGAACTGCCCAACTGGGCAGACCACTCGCGCTCTCCACGGACTGGACTTGACACTTACACGTCGATGACCTTGGTTCGCGCTTGTGGTTGGAAGCTAGTCGGCCCGTTCCACGCCGAGCACACCGGGCTTGCAGTCTCTAAAGACAGCGCTACAGGGGCAGGGGCGTTACCGACGCGGGGAAGCACGGGGGAAAACGATGCGGGGAAGGGTCCAGGGAAGATGCCAAGGCGCAGGACCAAGTCCCACCGTGGTGGAGCGCCAGAGCACATGCACATGACTTTCAAGACGTTGATTGGCGCGCCTATTTAGGGCCCAGATCCAAATCTGGCCGGCAATGCCTTGTTTAATTCTTCCGTCGGCACTGATTCAGCATGCCCTGACGAGACAATAACGCGCCGCAGAGAGCCCACAGCCCAGTCCTTGGGCATCTTTTTTCCCTATTTTTGTAATTGACTTGTTCATCATTTTGTCCCGGGCCCGCCAGGCCGTCCAATAAATGGCTCCGCCCAGGCCATCGTCTTTCAGCACCTTCCCAAACCTCGCCGTCCAAGGTCTCGGATCCAGCCGTGGATCGCATGGCGCTTTGCCGGATGTCCAGGAATAGGTGGCTTGGCAGTGGCTGACTTTCACCAACATGGCAGGTCCCCCGACATCCCGTCGCCCGGTAGTGTGGAGCGTGGAGGCACAGGGGCATTGCGGCTCTCTCGCCACGGTCCACCACCAGCTTCCATGTTCGGTGACCTGATGACCATGAGGGGGAAGATGCCCCGGCAGGTCCCAGAGAGCAAACGGTCAAAGCACCGGGTTGGCGACGCTTAGTCGTGACTGCGGAGGAGCTTTGACGTACTGCTAATATGTTGGGTAGCAATGGGTTGTTTCTTGTACACGCGCGTTCCATGGATTTTGCCGTGGGCCGCCGTGTAACGTACCTGGCCCCCATAGCCGAACCAACCTAAGAGCCCCAGCACGAGGAGGGACCGTGGCGGCTCCAAAGTGGGCTTGGCCGACACATGGTCGCGTCCCCGTCCCTGGTGGCGGCATGCCCAAGTTCATATATGAAGCCTCTAGGCTCCGTCCCGCTACTTGGTTTCCGGGACTGCCAGCCCCACGGTTTCTAGCAGCTTGATCGAGACCGAGTCGCACGCATCTGCGAACCTCGACAAGCCCGTCACTTGTCCACAGTCCACCCCTTGGATCCGAACACGACGCGGCCAACATGAGGTTCTCGGGGCTATGGGCTGCTGCCCTGGCCACCCTGGTCCACGCCACTGCCGACCACCCCCTAGATGCACGAAGCGTCCTCCAGGCACGGGCCGCCGCCGCCCTCGGCTCCGTCACTGTCACAAACCTCAACGATGTCCGGGGTAACCTGCACCTCCCAGAGTCATGGGACGGCCTGCCCGTCCGCTGGACCAGCAGCGACCCGACCGTCGTCGGCCACGACGGCCTTGTCAAGCGGCGGGAAGACGGGCACCGCCACGTCACGCTGCGCGCCACCATCGAGCACGAGGGCGTGTCGGTCGAGCGAGAGTTCACGGCGCGGGTGCGGCAGGCTGTGGAGAAGCGGCAGGCATCCAGCTACGAGGGCTATGCCTTCTCATACTTCACGGGCAACAACATCGCCGGCGAGAAGATCTACTTCGCCGCCAGCGTCGGCAACGACGCGCTCAACTGGCACGAGCTCAACCGCGGACAGGCCACACTGACATCCACCATGGGCACCAAGGGCCTGCGCGACCCTTTCCTGATCCGGTCGCCCGAGGGCGACACCTTCTACCTCATCGCCACGGACCTGTCCATCGGCTCGGGCACGTCGTGGGGCGACTCGGTGCGCTTCGGCAGCCTGTACCTCGAGGTGTGGGAGTCGCACGACCTGGTCAACTGGTCGGCGCAGCGGCACATCAAGGTGTCACCGCCCAACGCGGGCAACACGTGGGCGCCCGAGGCCTACTACGACTCCTCGCTCGGCGCCTACGTCGTCTTCTGGGCCTCGTCGCTGTACGCCGACAACGACCCCCGGCGCAACGGACCGACGTACCACCGCATGCTGTACGCCACGACGCGTGACTTTGTCACCTTTAGCGCCACCAAGGTGTGGCAGGACGCCGGCCTCTCGCGCATCGACTCGACCGTCATCAAGGTTGGCAACCAGTACCACCGCTTCACCAAGGACGAGGGCGCTGGCAGCACGGGCTGCACCGACATTATCCAGGAGAGCTCGTCGTCGCTCACGGCCACTCTCCAGTCGTGGACGCGCGAGGCGGTCTGCATCGGGCGCGACGCCGGCACTCAGGCCGTCGAGGGCCCGACCGTGTTCAAGTCCAACCCGGGCGACGTGCGCGGCGACAAGTTCTACCTGTTCGTCGACGAGTACGGCGGCCGCGGCTACGTCCCTCTCGAGACGGCCGACATCTCCAATCCCCGCTGGAGGCTGTCGTCGTCGTGGAACCTGCCCGCCAGCCCACGCCACGGCACCGTCATCCCCGTCACCAAGGCCGAGCTCGCGCGCCTGACGGGCTCGACGGGCAAGCCCAAGCCCGCCAACGCCGCCGGCGAGATTGCGCGCTACGACTTCTCGTCGCTCAAGGCCGGCGGTGTGCTGCCCGACGTGTCCGGCAACGGCGCCGACGGCAAGGTGCAGGGCGGCGCTACGGTCAGGAACGGCGCGCTGGTGCTCGACGGCGTCGACGACTACGTCACGCTGCCCACCGACCTGGTGGCAGGCCTCGAGGACATGACGATCGAGGCCGAGGTGCAGCTAGCGACGGACCAGCAGCCGCCCTACTTCATCTTCGGCATCGGCAACACGGGCTCGTCGGGCGCGGGCGCGGGATACCTGTTCGCCACGGGCAACCCCTACCGCGCCAGCATCACGCTGACCGACTACAATGCCGAGCAGACGGTGTCGTCGGGCCGCGATCTGCCCAGGGGCCAGTGGGTGCACCTGGCATACGTGATCCAGGGCAGGAGCGCCATCCTGTACCTCAACGGCGCCGAGGTGGGCCGCAACACGCAGGTCAACCTCGACCCCGGCGGCATCGGCGGCGGCGCCACCAACAACAACTACATCGGCAAGTCGACCTACACCAGCGACCGCCTGCTCAAGGGCCAGTTGCGCAAGTTCGCCGTCTTCAACCGCGCCCTGTCGGCGGCCGAGGTGCTCCGTAAGTCGGGAAACCTGCTCCAGCTGACCGGGCTTTCCCTCGCTGACGCCTCCTCCGTCAAGGCCTCGCCGCTCGTTAGCGGCTCCAGCCGCTCCGTCCTCTTCTACGTCAAGCCTGGCACCAGCCTGGCCGCGCTCGCGCCCACCTTTACGACCCCTGACGGCGTAACCGTCTCGCCCACCTCGGGCGCCACCGTCGACTTTAGCAACGACCGCGCCGTCACCTACACCCTGACCAACGGCGCCGACGGCACCTCGGCCACGTGGACCATGACGGCGCACGAGATGGCGTCGCCCGTCCTGCCCGGCCTGTACGCCGACCCCAACATATTCATCCACAATGCCACCTACTACATCTACGCCACCACCGACGGCTTCCCCGGCTGGGGCGGCAAGGATTTCTACGTGTGGTCGTCGCGCGACATGAAGGAGTGGACGCGCACCGAGAAGCCCATCCTGACGCTCGACGGCGCCAACGGCAACGTCCCCTGGGCCGTCGGCAACGCCTGGGCCCCGGGCTTCGCGGAGCGCGACGGCAAGTTCGTCATCTACCACAGCGGCCACCACGTCCGGCTCAACACCAAGACCATCGGCGCCGCCGTGGCCTCGCACCCGCTGGGACCCTTTACGGCGCAGCCCGACGCCATGATCTTCAACAACGAGACGGTCACGTCGGGCCAGGCCATCGACCCGGCCGCGTTCCGCGACCCCGTCAGCGGCAAGTACTACCTCTACTGGGGCAACGGGCGGCCGCTGTACGCGCAGCTGGCCGACGACATGGTCTCGCTGGTGCCCGGCACCACCAAGCAGATCTCGGGCCTCAACGACTTCCGCGAGGGTCTGTTCCTGGTCTACCGGCGCGGGCTGTACCACATGACGTACAGCATCGACGACACGGGGTCCGAGGACTACCGCGTCGGCTACGCGACGGCGGCGTCGCCCGACGGCCCCTGGACGTACCGCGGCGTCGTGTTGGCCAAGCGGCCCGAGCTCGGCATCCTGGGCACGGGCCACAACAGCATGGCGCAGGTGCCCGGCACCGACGACTGGGTCATCGTCTACCACCGCTTCGGCATCCCCGGCGGCAACGGCAACAACCGCGAGACCACGATCGATAGGGTCGAGTTCGACGAGCAGACGGGGCTCATGAAGGCCATCACGCCGACGCTGGAGAGCGTGCCGGCGCGGCGCATCAGCAGCTGTGCGTCGAGGCGAAGGGCAGGGGGGTCGAGTTAGTTATGATTCAAGTGAGATTATGGGTGGGCGTACTAGTGGCTGTTTTTTTATGGGTTGTGTCTTTGCCGGGAGAAGACGACAAGGGAAGAGGACCAGGCGGGGCGTTTGATGAGCAGACAGACCCGCGCAAACACTGTATTCAAAACAGACGATATCCACATGTAAATATTCATTCAAATGCTTTCTTGGTTCATACCGACCCTGACGTGACATTTACAGCAGTCGCGTCGGCGGGGCCCGGCTTTGGTCGCCGACTGCCCCTTTTCAGACGGCCCAGGGCAAATTCCGGGGGAGCCCCGCAGGCGATGACACCTACTAGTGGGAGGGGAATGACGGGGCAACCCTGTGTTGCACTGCGAGAAGCAAAGATGATACGCGCCGCGGTACGGCCCTCTGAGCTGGTCCGGGTAGCGACTGATGGGCCACTAAAAAAGGGCCGGGAATGTCCAGCGCAGCGGTCAGTAATTTGGGCGTCCCCTCGATTTGCCGCCAGCAATAGTACCTCGCAGCCAGAGAAAAAGTTGCTGGCATGGGAACTGGCATGCGATGGGCAGTCAAGGCGTCGGCATTCGAACAACCAAGTCCAGGTAGACGGGCACACCCACCACAAAAAAAGACGGCAGTCTTACAGCCCGTTCCGAAAGTTCAAATCGAATCTTTAGTGCTGTAAGCTTCCCTATTCTTATTTTTCCCATTGTTATTCCCATATATTATTCCTGTTTTTATACCTATTTCTATTCCTATTCTTAAAAGGAACTGCCACCTTTTTTGTAGAAGACGTGACGGGGTAGATTCCATGTCGTCTACATCGCACTGTATGTCCCCCCATGCCGCGCTGCTCGGAGGAGTACACGAGAGCGAGCAAAAGACGAGACGACGGGATGCAAAGGAAACGGCAGCACAGAGATGAGGACTCCAAACACCACCACCTTTGCTGGCTTGTTTCCTGAATGTTCGTCTACGTCGACATGCTGCACGACCGACGCGGCAAAGCTCCCCTCCTGGGGTGTCGGGCCCGACACCTTCCGTTCTGGGGTTCGCGGGCCGCCCCCGCTATCGAGATCGAAAGTCTGGACCCGAGCCCGACCCAGTCCCTCACCGGCGAAGACGCTGCACCTCCCGAGGCGGCGCTGGCTTTGGTGCGCGTTGGAGGGCTTTGGAACCAGCAAGCGACATGTGACCGCCAAGGATGCATAGTATCTTTCATGACTGCCGGGTGGCAGTGTCCTTGTGCCTCCATCGTGTTCCAGATATCGCAATTACCTTGCCCACGCATCACCACCCTTTACTTGCCGTATACCAGCCACTAATTCCTAGGGCACCCGCTGCAACCATAACACGGAGAGCCCATCAACTACAGCGGAACGATCTTCCCAACCTGCCCCCAAGTCCTAATCGTCTCACGAGCGGCGCCATAGACTCAAAATGGATCAAGACCAAGGCATGTCGGGCAGGTACAGGATGCAAGGGATAATGAAAAAGTAAAATAGAGACCCGTCCAAGCTGGCCGGTTGATGGATGGAATCAGGACATCAGAGCAGGCGCCCAGATCACAACCACCTAGCCAATGTAGACCGCATATCTTGCCATCTCCTCGTCACGTCTCAGAAACTCGACCTCGTCTTCCGGCAGGCACGCAGCAACGGCGATACCGCCCCCCGCGTCCTTGGGCATCAGATACAGCAGGCTCGGCCAGGGCGGCATCCTGGGCCGCCTCGCTGCCACGGGGGCGCCGAGCAGGGGCCCGAACGAGTCGGCGCACGAGCGCAGGTGGACATAGGACGAGACGACGACGTCGGAGCGCGGGTCCAGACGGGCGCCGCTGACGATTGCGCTCTTGTCGTCCAGGCGGTCGAGCACGGTGGCGTAGGCGCGAAAGTGGCGCAGCTGCGCGTCCCCGTCGCGCACCAGGCGGCGCAGCGTCGCCGCCACGGCGCCGAGGGGGAGGTCGCACACGTCCGCCGCTCGCGCGTAGGCGCAGTCGACGACGTGGCCCGTGTAGCCCTCGAGCCCCAGCGCCTTGCGCATGCTGACGGTGCGGCAGAGCTGCGACTCGGCCGCAGCCGCTGGGCCCAGGGTCGCGCGGCGGGCGGCCTGGATGCGCTGCCAGCAGAGCGCCGAGACGGCGTCATCCGTCGTAATGTACGGCACCGCGTCCTGTTTGCTGGCCTCGCGCTTGAGCTCCGCCAGGGCCGGGTTGCTGAACTTGAAGTAGGCCCATTTGGCTGGTTTGGGATGCGCGGCTCCCTGGGCCTTGAGCGTGTCCTTGGCGGGCTTGACGAGCGAGTCGTCGAGCTCCGGGCCGGGTTGGTAGTCGTCCCCGAGCAGCGGCACGACATGGCGGCGATCCTGGTTGGCCTGCGCCACTTCCGACGACGACAGACTCTCGCCCCGGCAGGCTTTAGCAATGTATCTAATTACGATTTTCAGTCCTGTCATGTCCATGGTTGTGTGGTTGCTGCAGACTGTCAAGACCAAGCCGCCGTCGACAAAGTTGGCCTGAAGAACCAGGACCGGTGCGACAATGTCAGGGTTGGTCGAATCCCACGAGATGGCGATGCGTGGCACAAGGACGTCAGAGTCCAAGAAGGCCATGGGGAAGTCCGCGTCTTGCAGCTGGGCAAAGCTCGGGAACCCGCCATGGTCGGCGGCAGTAGTTTGGCCTAGATGCTTCACGAAAAGCGGGATTGTGCCTCGGTGGGAAACGATGTGCCGGATGCCCGAGCGGGTCGCGTCGCTGCCTTCAAATACCACGCGGCCGGCGAGCCATGGGACGGCGCTGGCCAGACTGGCGAGAGCCTGCTGGAGATGAGTTACCACCTTTTCCTGGGCGCCGGTGCTGTCGTCGGCAAGGCGGAAGAAAAGACTGATCAGCGAGTATCGCCTGAGCATTGGAAGCGAGCCAAGGACGTCTGTGAGATGCGGAAAGGCGTGATCGCCTGTGGAGGTCCCAGGGGACGCCATAGTCTGCTAGTGTCTGGTGCGAATCTGGCTCTGATGGGGGGGCGTGGTGAGAATGCCCGAGGTTAGCTGAGTGTCCAAACGCCTGGGCCGGATCAATATATACCTAGAATATGTGGCGCTGAGTGGCCTCACTTCAGAATATCTAGCAATGCAATACAGGATGACGGGCGATGAGCCATGCTATGTGGTTACCCGCCAAGACTTACGCCGAGCAGAGCCGCCGCTGCGGGGCACCATTTGGGCAGCCATTCACAACAAACGTGGCCCAGCTCGATTCTGTGGCGGTGCGTGTGGCGGGGGTTTGCAGGACCATGCATGCTGCATTTTACCTGGAAATGTACATACAGAAGACTCCTGGCTGAGCCTCTGGTGGCAGAGCGACAAAAATGATGTCAAACACGCCAGCCCGGCTGGTCGTTGGAAAAAGGCTGGCTCCAACCATGGTGCCACATGGAAGCTTCGCCAACTCGGCATGTGAGAAAAAGCTTCACTATCGACAAAGCCACAGCAAATATGGTTTGGTGCCAGGGTCATGTGCGGAACTCCTGGCAGCCTGACGAGCGACAGGTAGGGAAGAATAGAGATGCGACAGGGAAGTGGTTGGCAAACCTAACCAACACCTACCCTGACGTTTAGCACGACGGACATATGATGGCGGAACCCAGAAGCTCCGAGCAGGCCGAACAAGGTCAAGGCGCACCATCTCTCAATAGTAACAGCCGATCACATGTATGAGAGCCAAGGGCTTGATATCGTTGATCGCGTAGGGCACGACAGAGGATGGTGTGTTTGGCCCCGTACGCCGCAGCATTGGCCTGGCAGGTCGGTCTGCATGCCCCGTGCTGGCCGTTTTCGGTGGCTGTCGCGCGTTGGAGGATATGGGCTGGAGCATAACACTGCCAGATGACATGCTGCCGCACTGCTTGTTTAGCTGATAGAGTAAATCAAGATCCGGGTCGACGTCGACTTGTTGCCGTTTGGTGATCCCCCAGCTTAGGGACCCGCAAGAGGCTTTTTGGAAGCTGGCTGAAGGATCTGATTGGGGCGCTTCCGGAAGACAGCAACATTTTCATCGTGCTGGGCCCGGTGCTATGGGCCGAGGGAGAGCGTCACGTGAGGTCTTGGTGACCATGTTTCTCAGCCGAGCTCCGTACACGAAACACTAGCAGGACAACCGCTTCGCGCTCCTAGAGTTTCCTTTAACAATGTACAGCAGTGGCACCGTTATCAATCCAGACAATCGGAATTTGGTCAGATATTTGCTAGGATCGGGAGCCCGATAGCCGTATGAGGAGAATAGCAACGAGGAAAAGGCCTGGACAGGCAAGTCCCTCAGCCCAGGAGTAACCCCTGAAGACGATAGTGGCCAAACTCCAGCAACAGTCACACGACTAGATGATAAGAGAAGCGGCAGACGGCCAAGCGGAAGGCGGACAGTTCATCTGCCCCGAGTGTGTTGGGTCCGATTGGACTGGCGGGCAGGAGGAACTGGATAGAGAAGGCGGTCAGGGCGCGGGCCAAGACGAGGCATCGGTCCGTAGACATGCATGGCCATCAGCAGCCAAGCAGGTGGCGGATCCTTGCTGCGCTACTTACCTACATACTGTACATTGGGTTTCTCCCCCAACAGATTGGCCGGGTGGGTCAAGCGCGCGCCACGACGCGTGAGGTCGACGGTGCATCGGGAGGGACGAGAGACGCGAGCGGGAGGGGTGGCACGGGGGGTCAGCCGAGGACGACAGTCAGTGAGGTCTGCTTCGTGTCAGGGCAAAAAGGGACATGCTACATGGATAAAACAAACACATGGACAGGTTGGCTGCCCAAAACGAAGCCGAGCGCAGTATGCCCAGAGCAACCGTGACGAAAACATGGTGCAGAGGCAAGGAACTGCCCTCGAGGCTGACCAGACTGAATTGAGCACTCGACATTTTCGATGGAATAGGATAGGAGGTGCCCACAGTGGATAGCGGAGGAGAGCGGTGGGACTCGGCGGGGACGACCCAGCGAGGGCAGAAGAAACGATTGGACTGCCCCGTTAGGATCTACGTCACTGCTGGGCACGACACGGTCGGGGGTCGGTTCGGCGCCAGCATGGCCAAATTAGCCGCGGTCGCCAGGGCTCCGCTGCGTTTCGAGCGGTGGGCTCCAGAAATATAGGGCGCCCGTTTATGGGGCGCGCAGCGGGCCTCTTGGCCTCTTTGCGCGCTACTGGCTCCGCAAGAAGCGGTAGATACGTAACCAGCGGGAAGGGGACCAAGTGAGGGGGCTAAGGCAGGGAGGGCAACAGCTTGTCCGCTGGACGAGGTTTGAACCAGGCTTGGTGTTATTATCTTTTCCGATGGAAAACGAAGAGGAGGGACGGGGTAGATAGCAGATTCGGAGGGGGAGGTCACAGGCCAGCAGCCAATGTCCAATCGGGGCAAGGTCAGCAAGCAAAGGCGCAGAAGGTTGGCGGGGGAAAGGACCTGAAGGGGGAGCGGGCACGCAGGCATTCTGCCGCTACTATCTCAGAACGCGAACCACCCATCCACCGCCCGGCAGCGTGGCAGCCAGCAATGGCAGGGACGGGTGGAGTCCACAGCGGGCGATACGTCACGTCGCAATGACAGACCCACCCGCACCACCACCACTTGGCTCACATCCAATCGCACGATTTAATTCCACTTTTGGCTAACCCCGCTGACAGCCTTGCCTCTGTTTGCCCGATGCGAGGTGGAGGGGCGGACCCTTTTTCAGCCCCCTCCCGCCGTAGCTCCCGCCCCGGCTACCGGCCGTAATCACCGCTGGGGAAGGATGCCTAGGGGTACCTAAATGCTAGTGTATAATTTTGGGCGACTTGGCGTGAGCATTTGAGACAGCCCAGGTAAGCGCGTATGGGTTTTGGGGAAAGGAACAATCGACATACAAAATGGTGAAATACGGTGTTGGGATCAGTTGCGAATTGCCAAAAGAGGCAGCATCCATTGCAACAACAGACGCGTGTGCAGCGAGGGATGCTGGTGGGGGGATACGCTGAGCAAAAATCCTGTTGGCACTGTTTCGTCTTGGGCAATAATCAATGGCTCGCCGCATTTTGGCTGACCGAGCCAGGATGCGAGCGAGTCCCTTTGATGAAGATGAATCGGCCGCCATGAGCCACTGAGAGGCTGCGCTCCATGCCAATTTTTCGAGCCTGCTCCACACGGGCTCCGCACCCGTACGTCATTACTCCAAGGGTCGTCTTTTGGCAGCCGGCCTCTGCTCTTGGCCTTCCTGTGTCTGGCTTGGTATGCAGACAGCGGCGGTGCGCGCGTGAGAGTCGGCTCCCTCCCGCAACCGTCCTGGCGGCCATCTTTGCTTCTCTTGTTTGACCAAGCAACTCTTGGGCTGCCCACGCCTGCCATTAACCACCCTCCTCAAGACATTAGGGCGGACGGGAGGAGCCGCGATAAGAAGACTGCCAGGCCTCTGCGTGCTATCGCGAAGGGGAGGGCGCACTGTGCAGATGGCAGCGAGCGACTGGGTATGACGGACACATGGCCACTCCCAATCTCTGGCTTGCATGAGGGCCCCATTTCACCTTCCTCTCTCAGAAACAGGCTCACCCGGGCGCCTGGCACACAGTGGCTTTGGGTCGGGGCCATGGCCAGCGACAGAGACAGCGGGCGATGCTCGAGTCGTGCGAGTCGTGCACGTCGTGGCCCCAGAGCGACGACCCACCCAGATCCGATATGGAGCAGGCCTGGTCCATGGCGCTGCTGCGTTATCACTGGCCATCTCCGCAAGGTCTCCTCGGGCCCCACCTGCACGCGTGCTGGAGAAACCCCGCTCCAGGTCCACAAGACTGCGGTTCTTCGGCAGCGCTGCGGCGCAGGCAATCAACGACCAACGCTGGGCACCACCCTGGACTAGCCCACGAGCCAATGACAGCAGCCCTACCCACCCGATTGCTGGGTTAGTGCTGTAAGGAGCGCGCCGTTCCATCCTGGGCCCTGGGCTACAGTGGCCGCCGGGCTAGGTACAGTACGCTGTGCTACGGCACCCTACCACCCATTGTCAGGCCCGACGAGGACGGAGGGCTTCGATACCGAGTGCGAGCCAAAGGGCGGGCTGGGCAAACCTGCTTTGCTGCCTCGCCTTCGACGGGCGCGAGTCCCATCCCAAGTCCCGCCTCGAACACGCCAGTATAATAGCGCCCTTGGCCCGCCGTCTCCTTGCCCGTGCCTGGCCTACTCCTCCCTCCCTTCCACCCCATCCTCCCCATCCCGTCTATCGCAGACCACCCTATATCTCGCAGGCCGCTTGGCTGCATCTTTCCACACTCCTTCTTTTCTGGGAGTCCATCCCCGAGCAATCCCCGAGCCCGCCTCATATGCCATTCAGAAACCAGCGTCTTGCCGACCGCCCCTCCCCGTTGTCTCAACGGAGCGCCTCGCTGTCCGGCTCCGAGTACGGCGGCAGTACAACGTGGATCAAGAGCAACAGGACGACCTGAAATAAGGCACACGTCCAGTCACTCCCTTGTTCAGATTAACATCATCAACATCATCAACAACAACACCCACCACGACCACCACCACCACCTATACCAACAACAACCATGGCGGCTCACGGCATCAGCAACGATGCCTCCCCAGGTAGCCACGGCGCCGATGAGAAGCACACCGACTCTCGGACGCCCTCCCTCTCGAGCGGCTCGAATCGGCCCTCGGGCTCGTCGTCCAACAACCAGCCGCTGGTGGGCAACGTCGACAAGCTGCAGCGCCACCTGACCAACCGCCACCTGCAGCTCATCGCCATCGGCGGCTCCATCGGCACGGGGCTCTTCGTGTCTATTGGCACAGGCCTGCAACGAGGCGGCCCGGCCTCGCTCTTCCTCGCCTACATGATCTACTCCATGATGCTGGGTATGGTCAACAACGGCATGGCCGAGATGTGTGTCTACATGCCCGTCACTGGCTCCTTCATCCGCATGGCCGGCAAGTGGGTCGATGAGGCCTTTGGCTTCATGGCCGGCTGGAACTTCTTCCTGTACGAGGCCTTCCTAATCCCCTTTGAGATCTCGGCCCTCAACCTGGTGCTACAGTTCTGGCGCAACGACATTCCAGTCGTCGCCGTCTGCATCGCCTGCGTCGTTTTGTACGGTATGCTCAACGTGGTCGCCGTGCGCTACTTTGGCGAGGCCGAGTTCTGGCTGGCCTCGGGCAAGCTACTGCTCATCTGCATCGTCTTCTCCTTTACCTTTGTTACCATGGTCGGCGGAAACCCCCAGCACGATGCCTACGGCTTTCGCAATTGGATGGTTGTCCCAGCCTTTGCCGAGTACATCGGCAAAGGCGACCTCGGCCGCTTCCAGGGCTTCCTGGCCGCCGTCTACTCTGCCGGTTTCACCGTTGTCGGCCCCGAGTACATCGCCATGATCGCCGGCGAGGCCATGCGCCCCCGCATCTACCTCAAGCAGGCCTTCAAGACCGTCTACTGGCGCTTCGGCTTCTTCTTCATCGGCGGCGCCCTGGCCGTCGGCATCGTGCTGCGCCACGACGACAAGGACCTGGCCAACGCCGGCCACGGCACCGCCAACGGCTCGCCCTACGTCATCGCTATGGAGAGGCTCGGCGTGAACATTCTGCCGCACATCGTCAACGCCCTGTTGTGCACTTCCATCTTCAGCGCCGGCAACGCCTACACGTACTGCGCCATGCGCTCGCTCTACGGCCTCGCCCTCGACGGCCAGGCCCCGGCCATCTTCAAGCGCTGCATGAGCAACGGCATCCCCATCTACGCCTTCGCCTTTGTCATGCTGTTCCCCCTGCTCTCGCTGCTGCAGGTTTCCAACAACACGGCCGAGGTGGTCACCTGGCTGCAGTCGCTGACCCAGGCCGCCCAGATCCTCAACTACGTCATCATCTGCATCACGTATGTCTTCTTCTACCGCGCCTGCAACGCCCAGGGCCTCGACCGCAAGTCGCTCCCCTACTACGGCTACTTCCAGCCCTACTGCGCCTACATCGGCATCGTCTGGATGACGTGCGTCGTCCTCAGCTTTGGCTACACCACCTTCCTGCCTGGCAAATGGGACGTTATGACCTTCTTCTCGTACTACACCATGATCTTTGTCGCCATGATCACCTTCGTCTCCTGGAAGCTGTTTAAGCGCACCAGCATTGTCAAGCCCGAGCAAGCCGACCTGGTCTGGGACAAGCCCACCATCGACGCCTACGAGGCCCAATTCACCGAGCCGCCTACCCGCTTCCGCGACGACATCCGCAGCATGTTTGGCTGGGGCAAGAAGAAGGAGGGGCAGGACACCTCTGCCTAGACGCACTATCCAGGCAGTTTCTGGTGCGCCATGTGGACTCGTCACGACCGTCGACATGACGCCTTTTCTGCTTTTATGTGGGGATGAAAAAAAAACAAAACGAACAGCGTGCAACTGGGTGGGAGGCTAGTGTTTACTTGTTTGTTTCTTTTTTTTTTCACATCTCCTTTCTCATTCCCTTATTCATGACTTTCTTACGTGGCCCTCGGCCTATATACGGCTAGGAGGACAGTGATACCCAGTTGCTAGTCGAACGCCGAATTTTGATACCTTACGAAAGTATTGTTTTGGAGATGAGGATGGCTTGGCCTCGGAGTTTTGGGACCTGGACAAGACAGGTGGCATATACATGTTACATCATACCTCTGCATCAAAACACCGATTTTTCTGTTGGCTTCTTGAAACTTCTCGACTGCGCTGTGTTCCCGATCGGAAAAGGACCCGATGATGGCCCGCGGGATTTTTCATACTCGCTTGGCACCTTTTCTCTATGCTAACGCAAGCCGGTGCGATTGTGTGTTGCAATTTGCGGGGAGATGGACAAGGGGCCTTGCAAAGTGCGGCGTGGCCGGCTGTCGGTCGCCAGAAGCGCATGTTGCAGTACACAGACGAAGGCTTGGAGATGCAGCCAAGTCGTTGGGGGGATGGCTAAGAGGGCCACATGGGCGGGGGGTCAACCACCACATTTCGAGCGTGGGACCCTGAACGCGTCATATTGCAGCTGAGCCCACAACAAGTGCCGCAAACAAGTAATTGGCGCTGGGAAAAAGAAGGGGAACAAAAAAGCCGACGAGCGATGAATAATTGGGGCGGGAACCTCCCAAGAACAAGTGAGAGAGTCGATTCCCCGAAGGACGACACCGACTTGGCGCGGAGACCTTCCCCCAGCCGACGGACGCCGAACTTGGGCCGGGTGATGTGATGCGCATGGAGGACACGCCAAGGTTTGGAGAGGAAGCCCCCCCGCCCACGCCTGGCTTGCGAACATGGTGTGGGGGCATGACGCCGGCTCTTTCTCGCGCGAATGAGAAGAGAAAAATGTAGAGACAAAAATGATGAGTACCTAGGTTTGGGAATGACGCAAAGTCGCGGTGGGTGACGAGGGAACGGATGGACGTTGCAAAGACGAACTACGCCAGATGCCTAGCACAGTGAGCAAGGAGGCGGCGGGCCGAGCCACGGGGTTTACTGTGCCCCAACGGTTGCTACTGGCAGATGTGCGAGACTCGAAAAGACGACAAAAATGCCTTGTTTCCTGTAAATCAACCAACGCCGAAACCGCCCCCCCGCTGCGTTCAAAAGCTGTACTCCTCCACATGCAGGTGTATGCCCTGCGCGCCTGTGCCCTTGTGCACCGCCCGCTCGTCCGAGAGGGCCGCGACGGCGTTGCGCACCGTCGCCACCAGGGACTTGCCGCCGCAGACCACGACCGACGTCTCCCCGCCCGCGGCCTCGACCGGCTCGCGGATGAAGGCGGCCACGTCGGGCCGGGACGTCATGTGCTGCACGTGCGAGTCTGCGCTCCCGCGCCGTTCCAGCTCATTGCTGCCTTGGTCCTTGCAGCAGCGGGATGATGCCGGCATTGGCCCGTCGCCGCCAACGCCGGCGGCCTTTTCCACGTCGACTGCCCGTGACAGCAGATCCCCATTCTTGCCCTCGCTGCCTGCTGCCTCCATCTTTTCCGAAATCTGTCCTCCCTGCCCTCTTTGTCTCCGCACTAGAATATCACTAGGACCAGCCGCAGCCGCCGTGGCCGAGGCGGCACTGTCACTCCGCATTCGCGGCGAGTCCTCCAGCGGGTCGTCCATCAGGGCCGCGCGGTCCCGTGTCATGGCGATCACCACCTTGAGCTCTATACCGACCTCGCGCGCCCTGTTGATGAAGTCGTGCAGCAGCTGCACGTAGTAGTCGATCTCGTCGCCGCGCTTCGCCGCGAGGAGCACGTCGATCCGCTTCGTACATAACGCGGCCCCCGGCCCCTCCTGCCGCCGCAGCCGGTGCATGATGACGCTCTCCAGGATGGGCAGCGTGAAGGACGCGCCCGTCGACGCCGAGATCAGCACCAGCGTCTCGTACACGTCCCATCGCGGCGGTACGCCGTACGGGCCCGACACAAAGGCAGTGACCGTGTCCTTGCCTCTCCCTTGCTCCCGCGCGCGGACCGCGTGGGCGTGCAGCCTGCGCGAGAAGCCGGCGTGCCGGCGTACCACCAACTGGATGCTGTTGCAGATGCACGTGTCGGGCAGCTGGTGAGCGCACGCGACGGTGTAGGGGTGCGCCTCGAGCGGACCGATGCGGGGGATCCACAGATACAGGTGCTGGCCGGCGCGCCACCGAAAGTGAACGTCCTTGATAGTAACGACGGTAATGGCGTCGCCGACGGCCCTCAGCTGCGCCTGGTGGCCCACGCGCTGGCCGCCCTTGCAGCGCGACGGGTTCGGACGGCGGATCTTGACGTTCTGCCACACGAGCAGCACCAGACGGCAGAAGCGGTCGAGGCACAGCGACGCCACAGCGAGCCAGAGGTACCAGCGGGCGGTTGCCGGGACGTGCACGTACAGCAACCAGAGGAAAACGACGGCGGCGACGATGTGCTGGGCCACAAAGAGTTCGTACCAAGCGTGGCGCAGGGGCGCAAACGAGGTGAGTAAGGCCCAGGCCAGGACAGCCCAGGCGCCGAGGCCGTACTTGACCATGGGCATCATCTCGAGCTGGAACTCGACAAAGTTGGCCAGATCCCACTGGTGATAAAAGTGCCAGCCGTGGACAGCACCCGTGACCAGCATGGTGCGGGCGACCCAGCGGTGCATCCAGTTGAGGCGCTCGTGGCTGGACCCGAGAAGGAACGCCAGTACGTTGGCCTTGGATGCGAGAAGGTATAGTAGCGGCACCTGCATCATGGTGACCCAGGCGTTGCGGAAGCCGATGCGCTCCCAGAAGTAAACGTCCTCGATGATGGCGTCGGCCGCCATCATGTAGATGATGACGGCCCAGTAGGCCAGCAGAAGCAGCACGCGCCCAAGCGGCGGCGGCGTCATCCACGACAAGAAGCGTGTGGGCACGTACAGCTGCGGATAGCTGATCTCGCGCGCAATGGCTGTCGCTGTGGCCCAGACTTGGGATATCCGGCCCGTTGGCCTCGTCGGGAACTCACGGGACCCTCTTGCACATGCTGTCAATCTCCTCCGGCGGTCGACGTAGTTTGCGACGCGTATCAGGACCACCATTCCAACGAAGCTAACGATTATGTACCAGAAGGACTGGGCAAGGCCCATATTGACGGGCTTGAAGCCACCTGTGGTGCCGCCCGTGCCATGGCTGTGGTCCATGTCAATGCCGGATCTGTGGGTGTTATGGGCGAATACGGCTCGGCTGGCGGGCGGTTTGTTGCTGTTGCTTCCCGTTCCTGGTCAGGGCACTGTGGAAAAAGGGGTGCTTATGAGCCCTGGGAAATTGTTGGGATTTGTCTGGCCGAGGCGCAGGCTGTCATGGCTATCCAGAGGTCGGGGCGAGAAATGGAGGC